ATTCAATGGCTACCAAGATAACTAAATTCAACAGTCAATAGTCTGAGAGATTAGTATGATGTGTAGTGTTTAGTGATGGCTAGATAATATTAACCAAGTTGTATTAAAATCTAAACAGTTCAGCATTAGTTTCAATAGTTGAAATCATGAGTCAATTGAAGCTAGATCACCATGGAAAACCTGGAAGCACTGGACGGCCATTTCGTCCTAGTATGGGACTCCTCAGCAGTGCGCATCCACGATCCCGCTCCCCGCGAGATTTCAACCAAGGGCCTATTAGTCTCGTGCGCGAGCGCTTAACCATTAGACCACTGAGCCAGTCGGCATTCAACGATGTTAGTGTCTAACTTCAACCAATCCACGAAATTGCACCACCGTACATCATTGTCTACAGTGAGTTGATATCTCACAACAGACCTGGTTTAACTCCACTGATCATTACTTCTCACTAGAACTCCAGGAAATGCCTCTTGAAGTCAGTCACTAGTCAGATAATTATTATCAGAAGGTGTTTTGTGGAGATTTTAGAAATTTCAATAGTCGAAATCATGAGTCAATTGAAGCTAGACCACGATGGAAAACCTGGAGGCACATGAAATCTCCACAAAACCCCTTCTGACAAGTTCAACATTAGGTTAAGATTTTGTCTGAATTTAGGTTACTGTTTACAGTTAATAGCAGGCCCTATATATTTAGGTTTCGTGATAACTGGTCAGTAAAATACACCTTTTCTAACAAGACCTAACTAGAAAAGAACTTGGGTATGAAGATTTTTGTTAATCATTTTTAATTATTTAACACCAAACACTAAGCCTATATGTTGTTAGGAGTAGTTAAAACTCAAAGACGAAATAATCATAGGATTATTTAAGACATAGTTCAAATCTAAACAGAATTGTAAATGAGAATGTTAGTCTATGAATTTAAACGATAAAGTATGTTGTCGGTGTTTGTATTCTACAAAGTCACTGAGGTTTAATAGCTATCACTGAGGAAATAATAAGTAACTTTATAAAGGTTACATAAGCTTATCAGATAGCTTGAAAAAAGAGATGACAAATATAGTACCATCACCAAAATGAACTCATTTATCAGGTAATTAGGTGTAAGCCACACTCCAAGTGTGAGGGTTAATTATACTACCAAGTTGGCTAGACAGTAGTAAGCAGAGCGGGGTTCGGAATTGGGACCTAAAGATCAGAAGTCGAATGCTTTACCCATTGAGCGACAACTCAGAATTCAAACTGAGTCGTTGAAATTTTCTTTCCAAAAGTAGATATATCAATGGAAGCTTATCAGTAAGCTTAGTAGTTATATGTATCTAGTCTGATTTTATTGTTAACCGATTACCTCAAATATAGATGTACATAGTCGGCTTTGAGCTACATGTTTTTAAATAAGGGTTAGAAATGCAAATCTAGTTACTTATATGTACTCGAAGTCGAGTCATGAATCATAATGTCTACAAACTATGGGCCAAATGAAGCTAAAATCATTTCTTGACGATTTCTTTCAGTAATTCATCTATAAGTACAGAAATAGATGAGTAAAGTAATATTATCTTATGTCTTCTTAGGAATATGACTGAAATTCCGTCTAAAAACATAATCAACAGAACACAATTTATCTCAGATAACTGATAGATTGTTATTGATTGAAATTAGACATATGGATTATTGGTTGGTGACTTCATGGCCTAAGAGCTAATACGCTTAGTGTGAGGCATGGAGGTTTTGGGTCCGACCCCGGTGGGGCATAGAATACGTGCCGTTGAGGAGCCCCAATGCTAGGACGAAACAGTTACCGAGTGTTTCCTAGTTTTCACTGATTATCAAACTAAGATCAGTTCATGATGCAAACTATAACACATGTTCAATTGTGGAACAGTATTGAAATTTTAACATGATATTAGAAAATCTTTATAGCTCAGAAAGGTCTATTATTACAGGTAAAATGTTAAAAGAAATATGCTGAAAATAATAAATGAAAACGAATTCGGATTCTTTCAGGAAATTCTTAAACAGTAGAAATGCATTTAGATGTAATTCGAGCAGCATTATGGTTAAGTAATAATGAGATTATAAGAACTAATCTAATAAACGAGTTTGTACGATATGTAAAGTAGTCTCTTAAGTGTGCATTCAGAGCACCTGTATAAATTTTCTTTGTATCAATTTAATTTCTTTTCCCTAACTGGGTTAATTTTAACCCAATTATGTTGTTCAACTGTGTAATCGGTTATTTCTATTATTAGTATAATTACTTGTAATGTACCCTTCAATACTTTGTACAAATAAAGTTTCAGCATACTAAGTATTGGTTCAAACCACTATGAATATTATATTGAATGTTTTCTCTCGCATGAGAAATTTTAGGCTTGATTTGTCAGGAACGCTCCCAAATTTTAGTGTGTTGTATCCAGCAGTTTCAGTTATTTCGTCCATTTAATGGGTAAGTACTGAAGGTTACGATTGTAAATTTCATTTCAAGTCCCAACTTTCATTAAAGTTGTACTCTCTTGTATGTGGGAGTCGAACTGTTGGATACAAGTTCAGTGGTCTAGAGGTTAAGCATTCGTGCGTGGGGTAGTGGGCGTGCACTACTGAGGAGTCCCACGTCAGGACAAAACGGCCTTCCAGGTTTGCAATAGTGGTCTGATTTCAGTGGTAATTATATCTTTCTGAGATGGACTGTCCGGTGAAATTATATCTTAATATATGGCACTGAGCAAGTGGACGGAAAAGTGATTGGAAGCACTGGGTAAGATATACTCAGTGAACATAGGAAACGTGGATAAAATTAGTCAAGTTTTCTATCCAGTTTCAAACATACATCTCGACTCTATTAAATAAAGCACTAATAAACTTTTTTGAAGCCTTATTATTCACTGTAACCTGAATTGTTTGTAGCTTATTGAAACCCAGAAAAGTAAAATGAATTCATTTCTCCACTTGCAAACGTTATTGTTTTTGATCTAATAAAAATTATTAGAAGAAAGAACTGTATGAAGGCTTAACGACTATTTAGTTTTTCTTTAAGCTTGCAGATTTGCAAAAGAAGCTATTGCTAAGAAAACGACAAAATCCAACATTAGGTGACCGGAGAAAGTTACGAAATCCCTAGGTTTTCAATAAACTTAGACTCGTCAACAAAGGGTATCTGAAATCTTCAGTAAACTGATGCGCCTGGTGAGACAATGAATCATAGTACTCAATGTCAAAATTAGAGACAGACTGATAGGCATATAGTAACTGGCTAGATAAAATTTAATTAGCATTAAGTAAACAAACATTACGTGGGTTACCATTCAGCGATTAATATATGTAAATAAGATGGGATAGTAGATTGAAGGAAAGGTAAGTGATACGGTAGATCTATCGCAAAGGTGCAGACGTACTCGTTCCTCAGTTTTCTCCAAAGCTTGAGTTTTATACTCTAATCCCTTGTTCCATTTCTTTTTTAACTGTATAATATGTACTATTATTAGTAAGGGTTTAAATAATCCTATATTACTATTCAGGACTGAATTTCGATCAGTCTTTTCTGGCATATATACTTCCTGGGAGTATTGCCTCGATACATTTAGAGTGAAAGGAATTGAATTCTTATCTCAACGGGAATATCAACACTGATATACAGGCACATTCAAATGACTAGTGGCAAATAAAAAAAGGCGCATCCTGATTTCCACTATAAGCAACAATCCGTATATCCTATAAAAGCATCAATCTCTACGTTTAGCCTTTCTTATTAACATTGGAACTACTATTATGTCAATACCTTCGCTATCCATATTGTTAGTCTCATCCCATTACGCTGTGATGTGAAATTGAGCCGATAGGTATTTTCCCCAGGTTTTACCTTGATTATGTCTGAGTTCTTAAAAGGATAATGATCTGTTGGGGAAACTCAAAATTTAGTTGTTTTCATATTTCAAAACTAAACATTGTGGCTCTAAAGTACCTATCAAATAGTTAAAATATGAACGATCATTTTACTAGAATCCAACTTATTGATAACAAAACCTTAAAATGTTCGACATTATTCAAACAAAAATCGTTGCATTGCCAAAAGAGTAATAATATTTTATAATTTAAGTGTATACGATAACCTACAATTCACTTTTTGTCTTCCCTTGAATCATAAGTTTTTAAATCCCTCACAAATTTCTCTCGCCATTTTACTGATTTATATTTTCTTTTAAAATTGTATCTTCGGTGCCTAATTCATCCTGTTACTGCTAATACGGTTATTATCTATACTACTCTGGGATCTTCTCTGACAATTTTATCTCGCTGTGCTAATAAAGTATGAGAACTTAAAAAAATGTATACATGTTCTAGGTTCCACGTTGCGTTTGACTGACTGAGAGTTTGTTCTGTAAGAATCAACATCTTCATTCAAACAATTTTCTAAATACTTCATCTCAGGTTCCGTGTTAATAATAACGTATTTCAGAGGTTAACTGAATACGGATATCATATCTTATGATTTGAATGGTACACATAATGACCACTAAGTTGTATAATGCATTTGGACATTAATTTTTTGGAAACAATCTTAACATAAACGCATAATTATCCTTCACGAATTTGAATAGACACCATGAAGTAATGCAATTACATGTTATTGTACAGCTAATCAAATAATCATTTATGAACCGATATATATATATGATTCGTTCTTTAGGAGTATGATCGAGTTGTACATGTATGCTCTGCCAATGAACAAATTAAGTTAAATAGGACAGAACCAAATAACCTATAGTTTCATAATAAACAGATGATGTAACAAATCAGATGAAAATGTGGTATATCAATAAATGTAACCTAACGGAACCAAAAAATAACAATGAAAAATATCAACATGCTAATTAAAAACTGACTATTACAGTAAAATGCAGAAGGAGCAAGTTTCAGAAAATAATGTTTCTTTTATTTAATTTTTCTGATATTACTATTATATACAATATACATAAAGTTATCTTAAGATGATGATAACTAATGAGGTTGTGGAATATGTCCATCAACATAGAAATTTCTTGTAGCCTTTGGCAAAGTGATTGTCATTCCATTTAGTTCTTTGGTCAGCACTATTTGGCAGGCTAAATGAAATAGATAATAAAACTCTTTATTTAAACGCAAGATGAAAGAGTTGCACACAAAGATATACTAACTCTATAAGATCAATTTAAATATACGCATTTAAATTCAAATAACTGTATAATTAAAATGTTAGATAGTAAAGAGGCTTGGAAACCGAGTATAATTAGTAGAACTATGCGCAACAATCTAAAACTATTGGATGAATGTCGGTCGAAGCGAAATTAAACTCGACATGTCCTTGAGATCAATAAATTTAGCCATATGTAAACTCAGTCCTTGGTAACCAACTAGAAACTAGAGCTAACCTGTAAACATTTGATAAGTTGCTAAACTGCTAACACAGCACTAATTAAAGATATCCCTGTGAATATTCATTTGCAAGTAGTGACAGCTATCATTCAATACTCAGGAGGTTGCTTTATACCTAAAATTCAGCCCAAAATCTTGTTAAGTTAATGCACTAACATAATTTTAACTACATTTAAGGACCAATAATACACAGACTATGAGTGAAACATCGCGACCATTAGACGCCAACACATCTGTCGCGAGACTGAAGGCAGAACTAGTAATATTTGAAATTAGTAGGATGGGATTTTATACAAGACATTTTCATAACATTTCCGCGTTATGAATGGTCAGATATATTATTTAAGTAATCTATTTAAGCACATTTCACATGGTCTTCTTAATGACACCAAATTTGAAGTGGAGAACTGAAGCACAAATCAACTATATTTTCTGGATGAATGTTTTAAAAAAGAGAATAAATGTCATCAGGAGTTTACTTATCAGCTATTATACCTCTTTTAATAAGCGATAGGCAAACAAACGAAGCAGAACACTAATAACCCAATATTTATGTACCATGCTGTTGAATGGGAGCTAAAATGGACTTATGGAAGCTGACTAGCATTAAATATTGATTACCAGCAATATTACTCAAGGATAAGAAGATAAACAGAGTTATTATCCTCATAGGAGACCAATAGCACATTCTTTATCAGATTAGACAGGCACTCCTTTTATTCTGCACGTATGTTAAAGTAAACTAGATGATATATATCACTACTTGTACAAATAAACCTATTTGTATGATTCTACACATACAATAATTAAAGAGTAACCCCCAGTAAGGTGTCTGTTATCTGTTTATCATTGGTTATAAGATAACCATGAAAAACCTAGAAAAAAATTAGTAATAATTAGAGGGATAGGAAGTCACGTGAAAATAAGACCTGTGTTGTTGATGAAGCAGTAGGTTAGAAGAAAGCTAGCAGTGACCGAACCAAGACATGGCATCAGTAGATGAGGTCAGTAGCTGTTGGTCTGAACCATGTTGGTAAATGTAGATTACCTGGTTGAAATCTGCTTGAAGACTGGGTGATTTGGCTCAGAATCGCTCATCATGGGGCAGATGCACCCACAATTTATCTTTTTGTCGATTGGGAATTTCAGTGTTCTTTCACACAAACACTTCAATTCTGTCTTTCCGAATTATACACATATTGTTACGTCCTCACTATTAATGACATTACATTATCTTAATCTCTTATCATTCATGGTGCTATTTTTGTCTAGTGCTAATGTAGTATGGCAACTAGGGCCGGCGCACATGTCTCAGATTTTAAGTTGGTAATGACTGACTGTCTGAAAATATTGCACTTTATTTCAAGAAAAAAGTCCAGTTACACAACATAACTTTTTTTTACAGTAAAATAAAGTCAATAATCCAATATTTTATTGATATTTACGTTGACCTGGTTGTATTGTCATGGTATTTTTCTTTAATTAGATTATTTGAAATTGGATAACTTTTATTATATTAGTACAGTAAACAGCACTTTCATATATTCCTAAAATTTTTAACGTAATTTAATAACCAAGACCAGGTTTATATAATGGAGTTTAAAGCTGGTGACACAAGGCTACTCAAAAGAAAGTGGAGCGATGTTTGGATTTGTAGTCCAGTAGTTAAGAGTTAATATTTTTAGAAATTAACTATGCTATCACTATACGTATTATTACCAGTTTTAGAACTTTCTTCCCAACAACAGCAAACATCTGATATATTGAGACAATTGAACCAAACAAGTTTTGACACTTTCGGCTTATTTCAATAATCTTATTTACACTCGAATTTGTTTGTACCTTGAAGATAGTTGTTGGGGGAATTAAGTTTACTGAATTCTGCTAATTAGATTTCGCTTGTCTTCACAAAATATATATTGAGTTACGTGTATACAAAAAACAGAACTGATGAAGTGACCCAACATTCAGTAATGTTGTCTTTACTATATTACCGCGTGATTATTAATTATTTACATGCATTTATATACTACAAGATAACTGCTAGTGTGAAAATATCGTTAAACTTTTGATCTTGCAACAAAGTCTCTATGTACACAACAAGTATGGAAATATCTTTGATTTCCAAAATCCTAAATAGTTAAATTTGAGGCCGTAGGTTTCAAAAAATGTCACAACTTAAGTGTATTATTAGGTGGTAATAACAGTGGTCAGACGGATTTTTATTCGTGCAGACAATGTAATCAGAAAGACAAATATGAAACAACCCGAACCACTATTGGGAAAAAGGATATTTACGTGTAACTTACATAACCTGGAGTTTTCTTGTAGGAAAACAGCTAAATCTAACATATCTTCCTCCCCCTCAGAAGCAGGTGGGAGCAGATCATAAAATTTTTGATCAATATAGACATGGCAAGTGGAACATGCCAGAGAACCCTCACAAGCACCCTCTATTTCAATATTATGCCGGCGGGCCAGTACCATCAAATTATCTCCAACTTCTCCTTCAAGATGTCTGATGTTACCATTTCGATCAACAAATCGAACATTTACTCTAAAATTAAACATTAAAATACATAATATATTTAGAATTACGTTTTGGAAGCAGGGGTGGAGTTTTCATTAAACTTTCTTAATGAGTCTATTAAACCTATAAAATGAAAAGCTTCTTACGGTTCAGAAATAAAGGTTTGAGATAACGTCTGAATGAATTCAAATGATGGAAGAACTGTACATTACGCAAAACATGGGACATTTTAATCACACTGACAGAAACTGGACGACTGATGCAGCCAACTTTCTACAAAATCTTTTCCAATGATAGCGAAAATTGTGCTAATTTGTTGAGGCTGAAATTACTAGAAAAATGAAATTGAAAGTTACGACACATCCATATTTATCAAAGCAAACTTAGGAACACAGTGTAACAATGAGAATAGGCTAACGCTTAGTAAACCTATAACAAAATTGATAACCTGGTGGTTTATAAAGCGCTTCCCAGTTGCGTTAAATAAAATAAAGAACTTTCTTGTAAAAAGTAATTATAAGTAACCTTACAAAATGCGCCTTTTGTTTGTAAAAGACCGATGGGAAGAAATACAACAGATCAAGTCTACATGAATAGTTTGTCAACTACATAATTATGTAAGGGCTCTACAAAACCTGGTTCCCAAACCAGAATAACTACACGAATCGGACTATGGACCAATAAAACGGTCAGAATGAATCGAGAGAATAGACAAAAACGAAAATAATAAGATTTATAATACCTAAAAATGTGTGAAAAAAACATGTACAAATGTGGCTGGTTCCTGGACATTATCAGTAACTCAAACTTGATGAGAAAAGTTAGGCTTAAAAAACGGAAAACGACTTGATGGACAGGCAAAATACTTTGTCTTGTGGCTATGAAACATTATTTATCCCACTCTAGCCAATAAAAGCGATGTGATGGAGAAAAGCACATATTTCTTACATAGTGTGTGTGTCCATGCAGCAGTCGTGGGATTTAGTTTGAGCAATTGTTATCGTGTAGAGATTGCCTGTGTGAGGCCAGTGACACAACTGCTATTCTATTATTAAGAACCCAATAACAATTAGATAATGGCTGAGATTAATATCTAACGACTATTGGTTCAGGATCCCAGTCTCTTACGTTAGTTGGCTAGCCCGACAGCCAAGACAGAACAACACAGGACGGATTCTATTTGTGCAGTTCCGCTTCATAAAACGATTCATATGACATTATGCAATAGGTTTATGGTCACATAATCGGAAAATTAAGGAATTACAATATAGGCAATACCAAGTCATACGTGGAAGAAAAATAATTGACGAGTTGGTGATTATTTAACACTAACTTCGGAAAGGCGAAGTACACACATTTGTAAGCTCAAAAAAGCTTATTTCTATGATTTCCTTGTATTATAGTTGGGATCAGTTCATCATATGATCACCAGCTTCTAACTATAAATTCAGATTTTAACATCCAACCCCATTAGGACTTTAGAAGCAGAAAAAATCAGTTCATTGAAAGATGAACAAGGATCCCTAATTTGCTAATTATACACTTAAATGCTGCCTATGTTGCAGAACTCAAAAACCGTGACAAAGTAACGCACAAATTTAGGCTATGAGCATTTATATCCTATATCCAATATCTTTATCGCAAGCATGTGTAAACCGATTGATTTAATTAAGCTCTCTTCTTCGTGATTTAGTATGGCCTCAGATATTTGTTAATGTCTACTGGATGCCATTATAGCATCTCGACTGCATTAACTCCATTCCTTTACGTGGTTACTTGTGGATTTGTAAATTTTGTAGTTGAGTGCGAGCGTTTTTCTCAGGGCAGTACGGTTTCCAGATACTAGCAGCTGTCACATTACCAGGTAGCACGTTAGTTGATTGTAATGTGAAAATAATAAAGTGATAATTCATTGGCTAATAGAAGACCATTGATTAATGGATAGATAAAACGTTGATTAATTGATAGTCGTGTAGTGGTTGTAGCGGTAAATAAATCCCCAAAATAAATAGCTCTGTAAGTTTTCGACATTGGATGCTGACCATATGTTTTAGTGGACTCATCTAGCTGAAGGCGCTCGGTCAGGCATCCGCACCAGATCACGTGTGGTAACGCCGTGCTCAACATCAACCGCAATCGCTAGCCAGATTAGATCAGAGAATTCCGATATATTGGTCATCGCCAAATATACTCTTCCGATCTCCTCGACTCTGTCTTTCGATTTCTCTGGGTGGGAACGAAATACATTAGAAGGTGTTACTGGTAGAAGCGTTGTCAAACACTGAATACCTGTGACATCATCATGGTAAATAAATCCCCAAAATAAATAGCCCTGTAAGTTTTCGACATTGGATGCCAAACACATCATTTTTAATGGACTCGCCTAGCTAAAAGCGCTCTGCCATGCATCCATGCATCCCACGAGTGGGAACGTCTTGTTCAACATCCCTTGCAATCGTCAGCCAGTATAGATCAATTGATCCTTGATATTATTAACCTATCAAATACATCTTCAAAAGCTTCTGTCTTTTAGTTCCTTTGGTAGGTGCGATTCATATTAGGTGTCACTGGTTAAGGTGTTGTCAAACTCCGAATACCTGTGGCATTTTCAATCCAGATGCAGTTTTATTTGGAAGGTACAGGAGGTTGGATGTTCTGTGTTATACCTAGTAATGGTGATCTCTCAGTTGATCTAATTTTCTTTTGAATGCGTAGATAGATGGAGCTTCAATTACGTGTTTAGATGATGAATTCCAACGGTTGGTGACTCGATAGGAAAGTCGATATTTAGCTGTCTAGTTTAATTAAGATACGTGATATCGCCCAGTCGAAATTAAAACAACGTTAATGAGTGAATGTGGGTCCTAAATGTCATTATAAATTTAAATGTACACTATAACCGAGAAAAATACTATTGCCCTGTTATTCAACCAATAATCGTTCAGCCAGTAGTCAAGTCTAAGTTACACTACATAGTTAAACTGATAGAAGATATATGATAATTACCAAGTGCAAAAACAAAATGTTCCTACTGTAGGGCCAGCGAAATGTCACTAAGCCCTAGCCAAATCATCCGGCAGTTGGGTCATTGAATATCGAGCAAATTATCGACCCTCGTCAAGGTCAGGGACAACCAACGCGCACCAGTTAATCGTATACCATGGACTGGCCCATGCTGCAGTGGTCTTACTTTCGATTGTATCTACTTTAACTAATATATTTCTGTAATAACGTCCTCTGTGTTGTACAGTCTTCAAAGCGTCTATGGTACCTTGATGCGTCAATGGGGTAGTCCACGTAAGGTACTGACCATGAGGTGTGACTTCGACGTTAGCTGGTTTGTCACACTATTCACGTCTAACTCCAGTAGGCCTCCAATCACTTTCGATATAGATCATTTACGTTGGTGATCTACACCACCAACATAGAAATGTTACTCCATACTTTCTAGACAGATTGTTTGCAAGATAACATTTAAATTCGTTAATTTCGTGTTTTCGATTCTCGAAAATTGCTCGGATTCATAACTAGTCGATTCAAGCTGCATAATCAAAAAGAGGAGCGAATCAATGTGGCAGCCGCCATAACCAACTATCGACTAGAAAAATATAGACATAGTTCAGAAAAAACATGTAAATGCAGTGAATAATAATAATATATTTCTTCATGATCAGGTACACGCCAATTTTTACAGGCATGATATATAAATTACAACATTTGTTGGTACACAGCATGCTTCCCAACGTATTAAGTTTATAGTTGTTATGAAGTAGACTCGTAGAGCGCTTGCTGTAAACTATGACCTTGAAAAGACGCGTACGTCAAGTTTGTTCCAGACGTCAGAAGTTCCATAGCTCTGCGCTCAAAACAAGATTCTGAAGAAAAGAAAAGAGAAACAGAAGAGCAGCAAGGCGCTTGGATATGAACGCGAAACGTTGCTTAACATTGTGTAGTAGAGCAGACATAGGTGTAATAAATTAAAATAAATTCATATTATTTCTTGCTAGAATGAAATGAAGTTAGAGGCTCCATATAAGGGAATGTGGTTATAAAGAACAATGAGCTGTGTTGTTTAACACGTTGGAGTAAGCTCACATGAAGGAAGAGAAGTCAAGGTTGGTACAAGGAAAGCGGTTTATTGGAAGGGAGTGTGCGTATAGAAGGTGAAGTGTTAAGTATACTAATAACTATATCTTTTACTGTCTAATTTCTTCTTTCTTTTTTTATTTTGTCCATCCGATGCCAGCCACACAATCCTAGTGTAAAAGTCCGAGTTATAGGTTGTCTTGGTAGAATAGCTAATCCAGCATAAAATCAGAAACATGAGTCTGAGTGGTAAGCGTAGGAACACAATCTATATCACAGGTTGATTGACTTATTCTCAGTCATAAAGAGCCTGATACATACAAAATGTTCTGCTCCATAAACACGGGTGGACTGAAGTAATCGCCCTCACCATCAATGCTTGCTGATCAGTAACTCCACTTTCTCTCTTTTTGTGATGTCAGGCTCATTTTATCTTATTTTTGGATGTGTCATACCTCACACAATCCTCTGTGTTTCACATCCTGTTGGAAAACACTATTTCTATAAGTACCACTTTACAAGCTTATCAGGCAGTTACAAGTTATGGACTTCGGGTAAGGCATCGATGTAGTGCTTTAATTGACTATAGTATAAAGTATAAGTTGCCAATTGGAGTATAGGGATTCAGAAGGGTATAATATAGGATAGTTGTTTATTAAAGCAGGCGGAAGAGTATAGAAGTGTATGAGTTGTAGATAAGGTAATATTAATTGCTAGTCAACATAGTGTACAGATGAGTAGAAAGCTAATAAAGAATAAACAGGAAGAAACTCACATTAACTTGGTTCTGATGTTATTTTGTGTTGTCCTAACTAGCTGATGGGTAGCAGGCTCCATAGATGCAAGACCACTGGTAGTAGGCAGTCGATTGTGCGGTCCTCTTGATTTTTATGGTGGTAGTGAGTGTCCCTTAGCTACCGAGTTTAGTTGAACAGTATCGATAAGTTCAGTGAGTTACCTGTCTACTTCAAGTGAAGGAACAGGGTGGAAAAAGTAACTAATACAACTGCAAAGTACGAAAAATAAGGCAGACTGAACTTGAAGTCCATTTTGGTCCAGACATGTAGAGAGCCTATGATGTCTGAGTGGGGCGCAGATTTGTTCGTACGTGCTAGATCAGTGCAAGTGAGAGCTTGATCAAGCAGTTTTTCAAACCTATGTAATTCATCTGTCATGCGTATTTCGGAGGGAAGACGGTTCCATATTATTGCATACTTGATGAGGAAGAAGTTTTCCCGAGTTTTTGATCTGTATTTCTCAACTGTGACGGTAGATACTTTGTTCCGAAGTTCGTATTCATGTGAATCTCTAGCAAGAACCATCTTATATGTTGAATAAGTAAGGTTTTTAAGTAGTTTAAAGTAGAGAATCAAATTAGACTTGAGCCTTCTCTCCCAAAGGGGTGATATTCCTAAGATTCGGCATCGGGAACTATAGTCAATGACTGAGTCAGTCCTAAGTATTTTGCGGGTGAAGTATCGCTGTATTTTTTCCACCTTTAGTATATCTTATAGAGGTAGGTTGGAAAATAAGAACGTGCATTGTTCGACGATAGGTCTTACACGAACTTTGTAAAGAAGGATTTCGGAATCATGGGAAACCAGAACAACAGTACATAAATAATAACTTTTCAAGCAGAATCGAAAGATCAACGAAATGTTTATCTGACGAAATCAAAAAGTACAAAACATAACATTTTGTACGTGGAGAGATTTCCATGCCGAAAACTTTCAAAACAGTAGCTGTTTTATGATGATCTGAAAGATTTTGGAGGTCAGTGGTCGACTAAAAGAGCGAATCCTTAGCCTTCTACTGAGTTCCAAAGCTGCTGTACTGCCAGTTGTTGTAAGACTCTACAAATAGTCAAGTCAGATTAGTTAATGGTGGGGCTAATGAGTGTTTTGATGTACTTGTATGGGAGGAGAGCTGATTTTGCATTGAATCCTTTAACTGCAGATAGTGCTTTTTTGTGTTGTCGTCGACATTGTTAGTTTTCGCATCTCCAGGAATTTGATCAGTTAAATGTCATATGAGAGACGCGCGATTCGGTATGAACGATCAATAAAAGCTTACCAGACCGCTGAACTTGCATAATTTCTTGACTGCGGTCGGTTCTGGGTTATCCAGAATGACTGTCACATTGCCTTGCAGAAGGCGTATGTCTTCATCCATGGCATGCTTAAGAAAGTTCGAGAGGTCCGTTCTGATTTGACATATGTGATTGTTTACTTGAATGACGTGTTTTTGCAGTCATTTAAAAACAAGATCCAGATGTTAGGGATGGGATTCTTGATCTTGACTTACGAGTGAACAGTCATTAATGTAAGCATGCTCTAAGTTAAACCCCTGAATACGTACATCATCAGTTAATTTCTGAAAAGTCTGTGCACTATTTTTAAGCCGATAGGTAAGCGCTAGAAAGTTTTTGTAGTCCGGAGGGAGTGATGATAGTCGTTTTCACATTGCCATCTTCAGCCATAGGAATTTAATTAAACGCTTTAACCAGACCGATTCTCAATAGAATAGTTGTACCTTTCAATGTATTTGTCAGGTCGTAGGAGTAGCACGAGAATACGATCGTGTGTGTTACGTCAGCAATGATCATCAGTTGGACGCCAATCCTTGGTGTCCATTATAGGGGCCATGAACCGAGGTGTTGCCCGCGGGTCGTTTAATGGCCAGACAATGCCTAAATTTGACGTGTGCACGGGGTCATTTATGGAGTATCTTAGCTTTTCGTGAGCCAGTACGTACGCTTTCAAAAGTGCAAGTGGTTCTGCTGTAGTGATATGGTATGTTATATTGCTGATTAGACGTGATAGTTTTCGACCTATTCTATGAAGTTCGGGCCACTTGTTAAGTTTCCGTTGGAAGCATGTGTGGACCGTATGCATCGACTGAGATAGAGACGTTTGCAACACCTAGAATCTAGTAATTAGGTTTACATAATCCCACGTTAATGTAAGAGTTTTCTTTACCGTATTTGGGGATCTCATTTTCTGCCAGTAAGTTGATGGCCGGATTATGTAAGTGAACATTAGAGTTCGCAGGAAGGCTTAATTCTGCATCAGTGTTGTGACGAGCTTATTTGAGGAATTTAGAATAGTTTACGGTCATGATGATTGTAAAGATAGTAAAGGTATTATAGAGATCCTCAATATCATTATGTATCGTTTGAGGCCTTTTATTGACAGTACAAACATCGGTGCTGAGGGGTATGATGATTTCTAGAATCCGGCCGGCAGACCCAGCTAATTCGATTATGGAGTCACTTGGGAATGAGACGAGAAACGCTTGCGCAAGTCGAGGAAGCGTAGAGGGACATTCATTGAAAGTTCGTTGACCGGAGACTTCCACATGCGTAGTAACACAATTGTTACTGAGTCGTGTGGGAGTTTTTTACTGTGGAAGAGCAGGTTTATACGTTGTCAGTCAGTTTCGTCCCTTCGTTTAAGGATGGCCATTATTCAGGTGTCTCAACCGCTGCTACTACATTGATGCGGTTTTCGGGCTTGCCTATCGTAGTGAAGCAATCAAGCTATATTAGCTGCAGCAAGCGTTTCTCAAGGTTCTACCATTCCAGGTAAGTCGGTTGAGGAGCGGTAAGGCAAAAAGTGACAAATTCAAGTTCCGAGGGAACAGTCGTACTGTTGACTGTACTAAAATGTGGTGGCAGTAAGGTGTTTCTCTTAGACTACCGGTATAACTGCGATGCTGCCTTCCCATGAAGGAGAGGTGGGGTTAGAAAAGGTCAATCCTAAGATTGAACACTTCGCCTCATCATACGGATACTTGTTTCCGGCCGTAAGATTGTAGTGGCATTGGACAATAGCCACACAATCCACAAAGCTGTGAACACGAGACTACTCAGAAAATAGATATTCAATATTTAACTCGGGGAAATACCTAACAATGGAGAAGGCGCAGAGAATGAATTGAATGGATTGAGTTGATCGAGTGGCATGGCTCGGCCATGCAGGCGTGGTCCCTGCTGGATGTTATCTTATATCTCCTATTCATATTAAATATATTGTTCTTTCTCTAGTCTAACCTTTTTCTACATCATGTATTGGTAATTGATACCATACAGTGAGTTGGTGTAGTCGATGGTGTGACTTCCACGTAAGATCTTATAGATTAGGCAGTTATATCATGACAAATCTACAATTTTAGGATTAGGTCTATTATTAGAGCAGTACTAATATCATAGTAGACCATAATTCTACATTGGTGAGCCCGACGTGATATATAAGATCTCAACAACTATGAAGCTAACACAAAAATTACCTACAAAAAGGTCGTGTCTGACCGGTCTCAGGCACATGTCTCTTGGGCACTGAGGTCACGCTCTCCGATCACTAAGACCAACTCTAGCCCATTTTCCATTTCAGGTGCCTCAAAAACCCTTCCACGGTTTGGGCAACCAGGAAGTGATAACCACCCTCAACCCCTTAACCCCTAGAATTTTTTGAGTGTCCTAGATTCGTGAATACCATTTGTAAATATTGTAGATGTAACGTGCCTGTTAAAACCACGAGGCAGTTCCTTGACTAATGCGAGTAACTGCGCACATAGGTCTATCACACTGTGCTCGTAGACGTTGGCCCGTACATAGCAGAAACGGGTTGCCATATTATCTTGCCAGAATGACAGATGAGAAGTGGGAGGAGTAAGTCCTAATCTTTAAAATGTCCTGGAATGCAAAAATAATATCACAGTAAGTAAAAATTAAAAATAATACATGTCGTTGCAAAATGAAACAAGCCCATAATTTGTGGTTCTGTTTGGCAGACCACGTCGTGTTAACGACTTAAAGTACCACAGATGCTTAGGATGTGACCGCATTCGTTCGTAACACCTCTATATTCGAAAGACACCAACCAACTCAAATCAGAAGTAGGGTATGAACGAGTACGATGATATATTTGAAAAGCTCTTGATTTGTTGCACGGGGTGCGTAGCACGACGTACTAACTCGTGATCTGGTGCGTGTGCATGATCGAACGTCCGCAAAAACTAAAGACGTCAGAATAAATGTCAAAGACTCATATAACTATTTATTTCGGGTAATAATTCATCACTACAAACTCTTTTGATACTTTACTCAACGTTATAAACAGAATGAACATTTCAGAGATCTGATAGGCTATAACCTTCCTGTCAAATAGACCTTTGAATACTGAACCAAATGCTCATAAACTCCTGTTTATTTTTGTTTTAGGAAAAGATCCAGTCATTAACTGTTTCGAATGCTTTGAAGAAACCTATGGATTTTTATCAACAGAAGGCCTTGGTTCACAGATCGATCTTATACTCCAGGATGTCCACGGGCTTATGTGGCACAATATACATGAATACAACTCATGTCATGATTTATAGAGCACGAAGTTTTTGAAAATTTATTTTAGGAAAGATTAACTCGAAAATTATTTCATGAGTAGCACAACCGACAGCATTGATTCAATAAATACTGCTTTTTGTGCTATCGGTGTATGAATCTGCGTTACTTTATTACTGAGAAGCCCAATAATTGGCACAGAAAATTATCATAATGCACATTCTGAAAGCTGTTTTGCAAAGAATTAATTGAGAATTGAGGCATATAACCGTTGGCTCTTTCACTGGAGCCACTTTTGAAATGCATAGCAAGTGGTATGGAGTACTTAGTTATTTCCAGAAGGTTGGTTATTTTGTGCATTGCCCGTGCTTTCTGGACATTTCATCACTACTTGTTGTGTTTTCAGGAGAATAATATCGAAAACAAAGCGCAGGTTTGTATGCAACCTGATAAACTAGGGTCTGACTAGGATGAATCGCTCGGAGCAGTAAATAAATGACTTTGGGGTCCTCGATCATAAATATGTTGTGGACAACAGCGTAATCAAACACTGATTATCCTCGACCTCCTTGCTTCTAATGAGAACGTTAGCTCGACTGTTGTGCTGGTTGATTTGTGGAAATTTAGGATAAAAAAATTATATTTAGACATCAGGTATAAGTGCACTTCACACAACTATTGGTGTGCGACTTCTCAGAAATCGCCTTGATTTGAAATTTTCTTAGGGCGATATCAGTGAGAGTAGAAATGGCAACGTATAATCCTGCCCGGTAGTGTATCAAATCTATGCAAGCTGATATAGGTAGAAATATTGTTTGCTGGTTTACGGCAGCGTACATGATTCTGATGAACATGTGGAAGTGTAAAAGATAATTAGATGTAAGACTATGTTGTTTTCTGTCTCGATACCACTGATTATATTTGCTGAGGAAATGTTCAGAGATTCTGTATCTCAGCACTGCTTAAGCTACTTATCAGTAACTTCATAAACGAAAACTATGATGGAACCATCTTACGAACGACCTTCGAGTGGGTCCTAAGTGACCTTGAGAAATAACCAATCAGAAAAAAGTGGAGGTAAAAATATGTTATGCAAAACCAAAGAATTATAGTGGGTAAACTTGTACATGGTTTAAAAAACTTCAAGGTTAGAAAGAGGTTCTGAAATCATCATGCCTACGATGGAGGACCTCATTCATATGGCTCCATAGTAGTCGACCTGTGGAGCCATGGTGAGGTCGCAAGAAATCTCCTAGCATCGACCATATAGCTTCAATATTGTCTGTGTGCACTCCGGTAGCTGGGTTCACAAAATGCCGCTTGTGGATAACGATACAATGGACATAATCAAGTCTACGTAGGCATCCGCAGGCTCTCCAATCATCTTTATATATTGTAGTACCTGGCTGCACATATTCCTGTATAATTGGTATTATCGTTGTAGCCTGTTGGTTTCTAGCCCGTTGGGAGTGTCTATTTTGAGATTATCTGTCGTATGTTCCAAGGACTTTGGAGATATATTTATGGTAGTGCTACTTACCCAGTCTTCAACACTACACCCCTATTGAATTTTCGTTTTCTCACAACTATTTCATCTATTTTAACGATTCTCCCAACTTCCCCAAACGACTTGTATATGCTTGTCATATTTACTGCATATGTCTCCACAATACTCACCACTGACCAAACGAAGTTTCAGTAACATCTGCAAGTTTTGCAGCCAGTGTTACTGGTGTTTTTATTATTCAGCTCGCAACAATTATCATAATTTGCCTTAGTCTCAATCTGGATCGAGCAAAAAAGCTCCTCTTCTAGCAGAAATTTTCCTCCAACATATATACCTTGCAAGACAACACGGTGATTTGCACAAGTCATTTGATTACCACGATCACAAATATAGGAACTTCCTAGTAGTCTAATTTGTTGTAGCCATTCAATTGTGTCTTCTCTAAAATCCTCTGTGAACCGATCGTACGTGAGCATCAGGTACTAAAATTGTTGCCGTGAACTTGAAATCCTTCAAACGCTTCTGATTGGCTCGTCCATAATTTATAGTCTTGCCGATCTGTTAGTCTTGGATCAAAAGTGTGACTTAAAGGTGAGTTTACAAACTTGTACCTGACTTCTAAAGTACATAGAGTAAAATTAAAGCCGAACCTTTAAAAAGGTGACTGTAAACAACATACAGATGTACTTGAATATTAATTTTCATTATATTGCCTATTCCTATATTAACCCGGATGGTAAGCAGAACACCAAGGATGTATAATGAGTATAAATCACAGTTTAAGGAGCAAGTCTCATCCTATAATGATTTCCTGTTGTTGACTTTACCTGAGTGTCATTTGCTTCATGTTAATAACTAGTAGTTGTCACGATACTACCTCTATACTGCTAAATGACGAGGCTGAAAGGTTTAGGCTCAAGATCAGCTGTCTCCTTAATATATGGATTTCAGATGCATGGATATGGTTTAAAGTTTACATGTTATACGTGAACATTAAGATATGTCAAAAGAAGTACAATCTCTTTTGCTAATGCTTTTTTGAATTATATCTCTTAAAATTTAATTCATTAATATGGTGTTGGATTGTATTCACAATTACAACTCACTCAGGCAGTTGGTTCTAACTGCACAGTCAGCACTGTCAACAAAAATTAATGTCCTTATATACATGTATGTAAAAAAGTTCTGTAGGTAATCTTTTGAATAAGTAAAGAACTGCTCAATGGAATCGGAATAACTCAATTGTTTATATAGTATAAAATGGGTTTATGACGTGTTTATTTATTTCAAGACAAATATTGGTACAAAGGGGCACCGAATACATATGCACCACACAAGTCACTCCACATATGTGTGGGCTGTGATAATGCTTGAGTGCCCAAACCGAAGCAGGTGGTTTTCTTAGGTGGCCACACCCCGAGCCTTTAACCTAAAGGTCTGATCCACAAGGCAGTGGAGCAGCGTCAGGAGATGCAGTCCTATGGTAGCCGGTGACCAACGATAGGTTTATACGCCATTTGTCCCTTCATGATACTGGAGCCCATGTACACCATTGGTTGGGAATCAGGGTTTTCCAACTCTACTACGTTGATTCTTCATATCCAGCAGCCCGGTTAGAGTGCCGGACATTCGCTTTTCTCTCAATTTCGTAAACAACACCCCTGGTGAGAGAAGACAGTAAGTAGGACTTCCATGATAATGGCTGTATACGCGTGGCCATATTAAAGCATTTGGAGAAGAGGGTTGACTCTCCTCACCCTCGGCCGTACCAGGGCATTTGGGGGCTAGGACATGTATAAACTCAGCCATTCGCCTCGTAAATTCACCACAGATGCTATCTGTTTCGTTTTTATGTATCGGTTCCCAGACTTAAGTTTGCAAGAAATCATTTGATTGGGACTCAACATGATAGCTCAAAAGTGACCACATCGACGTAAAGCTTTTGACTTTTATTTTAGGTCCCAGACAGTTCGTGTTTTCTTGTTGCTCACTTGTCTATCCAGTTGCTGGTTCTCTCATCATGTAACTGTGAGGGTATAGTAACTTAAATCTGTGCGTCATTACATGTGTTTCTGTAGAATTTTCGTTAGTCGAGTTTAAAACATCGAGTATTAGTACTAAAGTATTGAATAGTGATTTAGCACTTAAAACATTTAATCCAACTACTGGGTCATAAGTTCAAGTCTCATCCTACCTATTTCAGTTAATGTAACCGGGTAATATTAGTCATTCTCACTCAAAGTGTAGCTAAAAACCGTGCTCGCAAGCCTATATTCGCTTAATGAGTTATGTCAACTAAATAATTCATTAGAGAACTAGTTGAAAAGTTACTGGAGTACTACAGCTAAACTTGTTTGTTTGTTAGTATAATCTTTTATCTTCTAAAAAAAGTATTAATTACGGATAGTCATTTGGTTGGGACTAAAGTTTACCATAGTCCGTTGTTGCTTGAAAGATACATCCAAAGTAATTAATTACTGTGAAGTGGTTTATTTTCGCTCATTCGAATACGCTGAAAACCAATTTACCAAGAGCAGATGAGTACAAATGTCAATAGGTTTAAGAACCAAACTGTCTTTATTTAATAACGCTAATCTCCAACTGCTTACACTCGTAGTTGATACCATCTCTACTCTTTACACCAATGTACGCAAACCTTAACAGTTTGTTGGTGCGAATATCTCTATATTGTAGTGTGTTGGGGGAGGGACAAAATATTCCGAGATACTCGAGATGTTGGTTACAGAAGTCGACATTTTAATGAAGATTAACAATTACATGGCTATTCATAAATTGTAAAAATTTCAGATTTACTTATGCTAAAAGATCAGTACAATATTCTTCCGTTGGTTTGTCTCTTGTGTTTAATAACTAAGGCACAATATCTCATTTCTTAGTGGTTATCTTTTCAGAATCTACCATATTGGAAATCATCTAAATACTATCTTTGGACGAAATTTACAATTGCAAGTGGAGTTGTTGGCATTGGGATTGTAAGCTTAGCTGTACCTGTATATGCATCAGACTTACAAGCTCATCCTGCAAAACTACCTTGGATACACAATGGGATAATATCTTCTTACGATCATGCTTCTATGCGTCGAGGTTATCAAGTATACAAAGAAGTGTGTAGTGCTTGTCACAGCTTGAAGTATATGAGCTATCGACATTTAGTCAATACAGTACTCACAGAAGATGAGGCTAAAGCGGATGCAGCTGAAGTAAGCTGATTGCGGATTTTGTTTGTTAATTCATAAAAGTACTTGGTGAATGCTGCTAACTCATTGCTGAATAGTCATAGTGTGAATTGTTTTCCATCCTACTGATACCTTTTTCTCTTTACATTTTAAAACATGATAATAACAATCTGTTAATCAGTGAAATTCACAGTACGACCTGGTGCATGTTTACATTGGTCTAAGTTCCTATTCTCCATTAGCACAGCAAGAAATTAAGACAAATCCCAGGATAGTAGAGCTTTTTCACACGCATAGTTCCCTTTATCATCTTGCAGAGAGTAAGGACAAAGATTTGAGCAGAATAACATGGATTCCCTTTATTTCGTTTGGTTCTCGTCAGCTGCTTACAACCTGTGGTATTTGAAAATCATAATTACAAAATTAGTTTAAATCGCTTACATGAACGAGTTTAGTTAGAAGTAACTTTGTAGACATCATTATAGTATAGCAAGGGTGAAATATTGTGAATATATATAAAAGGATATTCTACAACACCGGATCTAACAAGAGTCCAAAGGGACAGAAATAATTAGTTACGTAATGGGTAGACTTTGGTAATAAGTAAGAATAAAACGAGTAAAGTTAGTAAAATAAGACTAATAATTTAGAATACAGAAGAAATAAAAAACGTAGTGATGTAATTAACCAAGGTAAATAAAGATTAACAATCATTTCCAAGCACATAAATCAGGTTTATGACGCCCCCAAATGTCCTGTTATGGCCGAGGGTTGGAAAAATCCACGCGAACACGGCCACTCCCAGGGAAGTCCTACTTACTGCCTTCTAACGGTGGGTCTGTTTGGAAATCGAGAAGACAAGAAGTGGATATCTGGGGCTTTAACCGGATTGGTGGGTGCGGAAGATCGGCCTCGAGTAGCTGGAAAATCTGAATTCCAAACCAGTGATATACACGGGTTCCAGGATCCTGATGGGACAAATGGCATATGAACCCATTATTGGTCACCAACTACAATTGGACTGTATCTACTAATGTTATAAATCGAATGAAGTGTGGCGCATATGTATTTGGTGCGTCCTTATACCAATGTTCATGTTTAAGCAAATAAATATAACACCTGATAGCAATGGCTTCAGCAGGCTTCAGAACACTGGAGTTTAAGTGTTTAATGATCGCATTGAAAAACTGCAAGTTGTCGACCCGATGTTTTGTATCCAGGAGATGTTTAGTAATTGCTTTGTTTAAAGCAGTTCTCTCTTGTTCGAAGGTTTTTTGGAATATGTTCAAAAAATAGTAGAGGTAGTAACAGTATTAATGGTAATAGAAAAGAATAAGTATGTAAGTGCGATTGAAGAAAATATAAGTTAGTAAAATAAAATGAACTTATGGGGAATTTAGAAAGAATAACAATACATCTAAGAAATTTCTCCAAGAAATTAAGCTCGAAAATATATGTTGATTTAAATCATAAATGTTATAATTTATATCCATCTCCCTCAAAAAGACAATATAATATACTTCCATATTTCAATTTTCAACTGATCACCAGCGTCACTTGATGTTTACTCATACGAGTGTTAGTTACATACTAAATCACTGAATTCGTGCAGTTTGTTTTCCAACTAAGGGCATCTAAGACCAAGAAGTAATAACCCATACACTAAAATTTAACAAAAGGCTATTAAAAAATAATACTCAAAAATTACTCGGCAAGGCGGCCCGCTAGTTCTCTAGTGTTACAGGATGGGGATTTTGTCGGGGTATTTGTGAATTACAAATTCTTCCCATTTCAATAATTATAGATAAAGACCGAGTAGGATAGTCTTTTTTCATATCTCTACCCGATACGGATTAGCTCTACTAGTCACGGCTTCTCACTAGAACTCCGATAATTCCCTCATGAAGCTAGTCATTGGTGAGCACATGGTAATTTTCAGTATAGGGTTGTGGATATTATCAAGTTATTGAGCGTTCGCGCACGAGACTGGAAACCCTGGGTCCGGATCCCGCGAGCGGGATCGTGGATGCGCACTGCTGAGTCCCACCATAGGACAAAGCGGCTGTCCAGTGCTTCAAGGTTTTCAATGGTGGTCTAGCTTCAACTGACTCATGATTTAAATCTGTGAAAATTTCTAAAATCTCCACAAACCCCTTCTGATAATAATCATCTGCTCACTAGTGACTGACTTCAAGAGATACTCCTGGAGTTCTAGTGGGAAGCCGTTACCAGTGGAGTTCAACCAGGTCTGTTGTGAGATATCAGCTCACTGAAGACAATGGTATATGGTGGCGCAACTTCGTGGATTGGTTGAAGTTAGACATTAACACCGTTGGATGCCGGCTCAGTGGTCTAATGGTTAAGTGCTCGCGCGCGAAGCCAGTAGGTCCTGGGTTCGAGCCCCGCGTGGTGCGGGATCGTGGATGCGCACTGCTGAGGAGTCCCATACTAGGACGAAACGGCCGTCCAGTGCTTCCAGGTTTTCAATGGTGGTCTAGCTTCAACTGACTCATGATTTAAATCTGTAAAAAATAATACTCAAAAATTACTCGGCAAGGCGGCCCGCTAGTTCTCTAGTGTTACAGGATGGGGATTTTGTCGGGGTATTTGTGAATTACAAATTCTTCCCATTTCAATAATTATAGATAAAGACCGAGTAGGATAGTCTTTTTTCATATCTCTACCCGATACGGATTAGCTCTACTAGTCACGGCTTCTCACTAGAACTCCGATAATTCCCTCATGAAGCTAGTCATTGGTGAGCACATGGTAATTTTCAGTATAGGGTTGTGGATATTATCAAGTTATTGAGCGTTCGCGCACGAGACTGGAAACCCTGGGTCCGGATCCCGCGAGCGGGATCGTGGATGCGCACTGCTGAGTCCCACCATAGGACAAAGCGGCTGTCCAGTGCTTCAAGGTTTTCAATGGTAATCTGACATCATTCGGTTCATAATCTCAATCAATAACTTATTAACCTCCACAACCCTATACTGATAAATAATTAGGCTCATTCACTAGGTGCTTAGGTATAAGCTACCCTCTAGGTATGAGGAATAATGATACTACTTAGTTGCTAAAGTCGTATTAGATGTAATTGAGTTCGAACCTGTGGCTTGGCTAAAAGTCGACTTCCGAAACCGCTTATCCATTGGCTCCTTGTTTTAATGACTTCTCATTTAACTTTTATTACTGATCATCGATGCTCTCTTCGTACAGCCTGCTTTCTCAGTCTACATTTGGTCGGAATTCGTACAACTGCATTTGATATATCTAAACCGTAGCTTAAGTTTGTTGCGTAACTAATCCTTTGGATGTAAGTATTTCCTGTCTATCAGTCAAGCGCAACGTAGAATCTGGTATATGTGTACATCAGTCCAAGTTCCCATTCCCTATTGGCACAGCAAGATGAAATTGTTAGGACAAACCCAAGAATAGTACAGGTAGTAACTGTACTAGTAGTAATAGAAAAGATTAGGCCTCAAAATACGATTCAAAAACAAATCTATGGGGAATTTTGAAACTTAGAGTCTGAGGGACGAAAGCGAGTGGATGCACCTGTGTTGTTGCAAACGATTTTGAGCCATGTCATTCAATGTCTCTGACCACTGGTTATAAAAACCACCTAGTCTACACTTACCTACATGACTCAGTCCAATTGTCAAGGTATACATATACTAGTGCCACGTCTTGGTTTGGCCGCCCTTCAACCTACACTAGATAACATAACTTAAAAATAGTTCCGAAATAATAAGTCCTATCGAGAAAACTATATTCTCACATTATTTGCGTAAAGTGCTAATGCATTCGTGTTATCAATCAGTTACTAACTTACTAGTGTTACTTAAAATTTTTAATAACTACCAATATTGTTTTATACATAAGTATATCATCAATCTACAGAGGCCCGTTGTTATAATACGATAGCTGTAAATTGATGGATACTGAGGTTGTGTTGAGGACCAAGGATTCAGATGTTCTAAGATTGAAGCATATATATATATATATATATATATATATATATATATATATATATATATATATATATATATATATATATATATATATATATATATATGCTTTTGATGTCAATTTTCCCGAAAATTAATGTTCATAGTTTTGGTTTAGAAGATGTCACTGCCATGAAAAGTGTAAGCTTTCGTATTGTTATTTACAGACTGTATGTTTGGAACATCGAATTTAGGTTATTGTGGCTAGACTCAGGACACTAGTAAAATTGTCTCTGGGATATATGTAACGTATGTTCAACCGCCGCCTACCTCTACTTGCAATGTCGAATGGCGTATGAGTAGGCTAGAAGACAACTAGGAGTGGTCAAACCAAAACTTGACGTTAGTTCATGAGATTATTGACCATTGATTTGAGCCATGTTAATAGGTAGCGACTACATGGTTAACGTTTTCTCGATTATCCCAAGCAATGGTTCTAGACATTGGGGAACATGTCTCAAAATCGTCCCAGATGCAATCGCTCACTGTATTTTCTTACGTAATGAGTTCTAAGATTATTTTTTCTTTTCCTTCCCCAAATCAACTTATCTAAAATCATGTTCTCTGTGTCTAACATTCTCTACCAACACTAATACTACTACCACTATTAATTCTACTATTTAATTGTTTATCTTAATAATTTCATCTCTCTGTGTTGATGTATTGTGAAAACTTGAGCCGATGCAACATATATGCCTAATTCTGCATAAAAAATAACCTAATTATTTCAATTATTGTTTTAGTGGTAATATAAAGCTAAACATTCTTGTCCTAGCATCATTATTTACAAATTTAAGGACTGAAAGTTACTATGACTGATCATTTGATGATTTACTATAATTGTAAAAAAAATAGTTATTCAGTTATCCGTCAGATTTTTCATATTAATTGTTGTTGAGAAGTCAAACATTTCAAAAACTAGCCGTATGTATCTCTGTATTGTCTATATGCCACCATGTAAGCATTAATGAATTATACAGATATAAGATTTAAATGGAAGGAAACAATAACAAAAGATTTATTATTTATCTGTTATAATTGCATTGTAGCATATGTATCCTGATGGACCGGACGATAACGGAAATATGTTTGAACGACCAGGTCGGTTAACTGATGTACTTCCATCTCCTTATCCGAATAAAGAAGCAGCGCGTGCTGCTAATAACGGCGCAGAACCACCGGACCTGACATATATTGTCAAAGCTCGGGAGGGTAATGAGAATTATATATTCCATCTCCTTACAGGTACATAAATTTCACTAAGTAACTGTTGTAACTTTATAATGCTGAATACTTTATTTATTTATTAGGAAACTTTTTTAGTTAAGGTTGGTGTTTCAATTAATTTAGTTTAAGGAATAGAACCTGTTACAAAGAGGCCCTCTTTAATATGGTCAAGGTAACTTTTTTGGAAAAGTGTTTGTTTCTCTCTATTAATTCTGTATTGGTATCGCAAACTGACTATATAACCGTTGAGTATAAAGAAGCACTGGATAACTACTTCGTCTTAGTATGGGACTCCTCATCAGTGTGCATCCTCTAATCCAATGAAGGTTAAACCCAAGACATCTCGCGGCGGGCACCTCACCTTTGGACTACTGATACGTCACCCATTGATGTACGTATCTGACTTCAATCAGCGGGCAATATCGCGCAAGCGTCTTGCACTGTCTTTTCTGGGTAACTGCCTCATAGCCAACACAGTTGAACTCTATTGGTTACGGCTTCTTACTAGAATTCCTGCAATATCCTTGGTGTTATTTACTAGTGAGCTCAACAAAAATATAACTTTTACCCTTAGATCTTTACATTACAATTAGCTGCGTAACATCACAAGACAGCCTGTTCTGTAACTAAAAAACAATCAATATTTAGGGAAAATGCTACTATTTATATACATCTTTGAGCAAAAAGTTTCCTCTTTTGAGTAGAGAATAGATTTCCCAGTAAAGTTTTTTCGATCACATAGGAGTATGAATAAAAATTCGGAGTAGAGGAATTTCTATCTCACTGTGCAATCACCTGCGATGTTGATTTCCACTTCAGCCACTTCCTGTCACAATCAATCAACTTCAAAGATTTGGATCCGTAAGGCATACAATGCATTCGTATACATCGTAAGAGACAGATTTAGAAATCGTAAGCCAACCGACAATATTTTCAACAGCATAAAATGTATGGAGGAAAAAGAATTAGATGACAAATTTTATTTCTTCGGTGATTTCCTGAAAAGCGAGACATAACTGGGCAAACAGATAAGCTACAGAGACGAAAAACAAAAATTTACAACTATCATAACTCAACAATATATAAATTAGTTATGTTTGCACACTGTTCATAAGATCAGAGGCTTTCTGTGGGATTCTTAATTAACGAAAATTTTAAGCAATTCATCTCTTTTATTTCTGTTATGTAAACAGAATAACCGTTCTTGAAACTTCAATCCATGTTTAACAAGACATTCTATCATCCGGAAATCATCCTCTCAGAAAGACGTTTTAGAAATCATTGCAAAGATTTAGAGACCATTTGAAATTAGTGTGTTGCTTAATAACTATTACACTATTTCCTCATCCCATTCCATCTACAGTTGTATACGGATCAATAAATACAATAATGGAATGACAAGTATGTCAACATTTATAACAACTGCGAAAAGCAGTAACTTAACAAAACATAAATATCCTTTCTACCAACGTGCTACTGTTAACGTTGTTTGGTAATTGGGTAACACAATATGTTGTCACTGATTGTAATAGGTGTAAATTACTAGAAGAGATATAGATGCAATTTATAAAGTACCAAAATTCTTAACTAATGGAATTCTAAAAATTAAAGTTTTACAAACGTCTGACATCCGGATTAGTTTATAATTTTAATATACACATTCAATTAATCAAAGTAGTAAGAAGAAATCATTCCAGTCATGTATGGTTTGTTTATTGCATTGTTGAAATCAACCAATCACAAATAAATTCATTAGAATAAACTAACATGAGTGTAAGACTTGTGGCATTGATAATGTCGAGCATGAAGTTATAAATGTTACGTAGTTAACCCATCCAACTAAAAGAATTCAACACTAGTTGACGAATTTACAGCATTTCTCATTATTTTAGTTACAGTTTGTTTGTGTTTTGTTCGCATATGCTGAGAGCATTGGATGAAGAATGTTACGGTTAGACTTAGGTTACTAGGTAAGGATAGTAAGCCGGTTTGAGGTTGTTAATCTCCAATAATTGACATGGTTTGAATGTATGTTACATAGAGTGAATCGCCTCATATTTTCAATTGGAAGGCATCCATTCAAAAGCGTGAAGATCGAGAAGGGGGAATTAGGATTTTCAAGAGTTTGAAATGTGGTCGGTTTGCCGTTTTTCGAGTTTGCCTCGACGACTAATCAAAAACATAGTTTTTGATACGTTTAATGTACCACTCACTTTCGAATAATTCTGTAATTTTTCGAATTAAGTAACAATCTTTCATTCTTATTACCTTAGTCATATTGTACATCTATTTTGAACAACAAAGCTAAGAATCTAGTTGACCTGCTTAATAATTAGTATGAGGTTTTACAACAGTGAGATTTAGACAATGTACCTTTCCAGTAATTATTGAGTAACATTTTGCAATCATGTTCACGAATTACTTTCATAAATTGACGCATACGCCAGCGTGAATATGAATTATTTGACGGAACAGATTATTCTAACATTTGTTAAGCATTTTTGAAACGGACTAAATTACGGCTCTACTGGGTGATTTATAAATTCTTGTAGATAATTTTTTTCTATTAATTTACTTTCTATTCCAGGAAATAGATAAATCCAACTGGAGTTATGTTATTTAACTTAGATTCATAGATGATAATTAACTTAAGAGTGAAAAAGGTAAATTCAGCGCTGGTCCTTATTTGGAGCTCAGTTTTTATACTAATCTAATTCCCTTTGAATAAAAGTTAGACAAATATATTTTTTGGGGATATTTATTTGCTATAGAATTTCGTTTGTTGACCTGAATTCCTATTCAAAACGGATGTACAAGATAGCATGACCATAGTGATAAGAATCACTGTTACTTAATTCGAAAAACTACAGCTTTTGTTGAAAGTAAGCGGTACATTAAACCTATCAAAAACTATGTTTTTGATTGATCCTAAAGGCAAACTGATAGACGGTAAACCAACCACATTTAAAAAAATTTTGTTCCCATTCCCGAAGTTCGCCCTTACTAACATATGGTTTTTTTGATGGTCGTCCTTATTGACGTGCACCCTTTTCAATCGCTCCCTTATTATTGTGGGGACTTTCCTGCAATGCTGTTGTAAGAGTAGAATCCAAGAAGGTTAAGTCTGTCTAAATAAAAACATGACATTTGTCCATGAAGTCATTGATTTGGTTTGAGCCATGTTATCATTTGAAAACTAACTGATTTGGATTCTCGTGATTATCATAACCAATGGCTAGAGACATATGATGTAGCTCAGAATCAGTCCGAAAGGCACAGATGCAATCACTCTTTGTTTTTCCTTAAATCTTGAGTTCTAAAATTATCTCACATGTTTTATTCCGCCAATCCATTCTTTTCAAGTTATGTTGTCTATATTCAGTGTTTTTTGGTACCACTGATATTGTCAATACTTCTACTTTGAAAATTGTCTTGATAATCTGGCGTGACAGCTTTAACCGATCTGCCTGTATGCTACATTCTACATCGCTTCTGACTAACTGTATTTGTGAATATGTATTTATATTTTTACGCTTACAGGTTATATGGATCCTCCACCAGGTCGTACAGTTTCAGATGGACAATATTATAATCCTTATTTCCCTGGTGGTGGTATAGGTATGGCAAGAGTATTGTATGATGATTTAATTGAATATGCTGATGGAACACCTGCTACAACTAGTCAAATGGCAAAAGATGTAGTAACATTTCTTTGTTGGACTTCTGATCGAACTCATGATGAACGTAAACGTGTTTTACTTAAGGTAATGAGGGGTGGTTTTAATTTTATCATATTAATGTTTCATTGGAGCTATAATGGAAGTTTATTTAGTTCCATATAATTTAATTATGTCTTATTGTTTTATGGAATTTTCTTGAAATTTTTTAAAAATAGATCTTAAAAAATGCATCTACATTTATCTGCATAGTTTGATGTTATGATGATGGAAAGTTTCATTTAAGGAGACGTGATATACCATCATCTATACTCTTGAGTTATATATTATGCATATTCTAGTCAAAGTTTCATACTTTAAAGCCTTAAAAACAGCCAAATAATCATCATCTTGGATTGATTTATCGAGAGATGGCTCAATGGTATCGCCGTTAGATTTTCGGCCATTAATCCATTGGTTCGAACCCCGCCCCGCTTACTTCTGTTTAGACAACCAAGTGGTATCACTAAGACACGATTAAAATAGGACTAAAAGTGAAGTACCCAGACTCGTATCCAGTTAATGAGTTAATAGTAATGATTTTTATTCAGAGATAAGATTGAGGGAAAAGGTATAATCATTTTCCTATCAATTAGACATTTTTAGATCTATTTGGCGTCTTAGTGTGCTGTCAACGTTGTCCGAGAATATATATATCGAAAATTGTTAAGGCCATTGAGAGTAGGGATCGCTGGCAACCCAATAAGACCACTTGATCAATCAACCTAAGAATAACTACCTTCTTCTTAATGAAAACTAATTAAATTTCAACCATCACAACGAACTCTCATTTGTATTAGCTCACAGTGATTTTTGTGGATTCACATCCGATTTGAAATATATTGAAATCTTGAACAAAGTCAGTACAAAGAAGATTAGAAAAATTCGGGACTCTGATCATTCACCAATCAATAAAATCAACTTATTAACCAATTTAATAAAAAAAACTATCAACAGTCATAAGGTCTATGGGAATGACAATAAAAATAACTTCGGAATAAGTGTTAATAACGATCAATCAAATTCGGAGTCGACAGATAAACCTGTTTATAATATGTAGAGAAATTCAAATAGCTCACCTCCATTCGAGATTTGTGTTGATAATAATTTTGCACTAGATAGGCAGTGGAAACTCCACGACTAAAACCATTCATCTTAAAGAATGCAACTTCACAAAACTACAATTACATTTAATATATAAACTAGGAGAAAGTGAATAGATATGATCAAGTCTTTCTTTGTAAGACATTTGAAAAGCGTAGCCCCAATTCATATAGTCATTGACTATTAATCTGACCTGTTAAAAACAAAATGGCTCAAATTTAGATAGTAATAATAAAATTGTATCGTTTAAATCTTGAGTTCTATTGTAATCCTAAACTTTATATCAATTGATTCCGTTCGTTGTTTTGAAATTATGTTATTGTTATTTTTTTGTTACTACAATCTATCTTCCTTTAATACTTCCATCTTCACAATTACTGTTCTCACTTTATGTTGTTTCTAGTTTAAATTATAATATATTAGGCTGATACATAGTTATATCCACGTTATGTGGGACGGCCAAACCAAAACGTGACATCAGTGCTTGAAGTCACTAACTTCTGGTCTGAGCCATGTTGGTAGATGCAAAATACTTGGTTGGAGTCCGCGTAACCATCGTAACCAATGGTTGGAAACTCTTGGTGACATGGCTCTGAATCGATCACAATCGTGTCGGTGTATACACACCCCTTCTTCTTTCTACGTACTAAATCCTTCTTTCTGTACTACATCTTTATATGCGATCTTTCTTTTATATATCACCATCATTGACTTAACTACTCCTATGAATCCAGTGTTCATATTGCTGTGCTAATGTGGCATGGCAACTTGGACCGATGCATATATGTGCATGGTATTACGTTTTAGCTGACTGACTGACCACGTTATGTATTATTTTTGAATAAATGATTCCTTAAAAGGCCCAAAGAAAATTAATCAAGCTAAAGACAATAGATTGTTGTAAATATTTATCACTTGTTCTAATTACTCTTTTTTTCTTTAAAAAGGAACAACATGAAATATATTATGTGCTACTTTTAAACTGTTGAAATTGGGTTTTTTTTCTAATTTTCAGGCAATAGTAATTACGAGCGTTGTGTTAGTAATAATGGGGATATACAAACGGAAACATTGGTCAGATATAAAAACTAGGAAGATTATTTACAAAAATCGACCAGTGCCGAAGGATGTTTAGTAAACTTTCTTTCAGTTTTCTTCAATAGAATCAATATCATGTTCTCTCTTTATGTGTGCGTATGTTTCCTCCACTTTCTACTGTTTGATACTTCATCTGTCTACCCTAATAAAGGTGGGGAAATTGAACTTTTAGAATGAGCATGTATTGATTATTAGGAGTATATATACACTTATTTATTCACTTACTAATTAGTTCTATAAGTTGTTCGTACAATACTGGTCAGGCCAATGCGTTTTGCTAGTTCGACATTTGATAAGATTTTTTAAAATGTAGCTTTTTGCAAAAATTATTTGTCTTCATATTAAATGAAAAACTGGTGGGTAATGTGATGAAAGCTGGACATATATGTTTCCACTGTTTTGTATTGTAAATCCACGATATTTGTTTATTGTTCTGTAGGGTATCTCTTGTAGATGACTTTGTTTGATAAACCTCACGGGTTTGTTTTTTCAAGTTCTCAGTTAGTTTTGAAGCTATATTGGTAGTGGAAAAAAGGAGTTAGTACACCTGCATTACAGATGATTGTACTCAGTGATTTTTGAATGGGCGCTGGTATCCAGAAGTTCGATTTTGACTTTGTATGGGAAGCTTATGGCAAAACTTTTATGCTTTATGTTGATTAGCGTTTATTATGGTGTTAGTTTTATGATGTCTAACTGTATAAGTGTGAATATGCAATGCAAGCAAGATTCACCACAAAGATTTTCAAGAAGGTTCTCACTGGAAGCAAAGCTCTTGGGGACGGGTGTCCGTAAATTTGATAGTTGTTTTATTAGCTGTGACTGAAAATTATCTTCTAGTTGCAACTTACGACTACCCATATACCTTTACAACAACCAACAGTCTAGGTGCTTTGTTAGCTTTGAGTTGGTATTATGTGAATTACCGGATGTCAATTTTATTTTAGGCTAGCCGAAGAATATGTAGAGATAGGACTGAAGTACTGGGAGTCTTTCTGCTGCTCTCTAGTGTGATTCGGTGTCGTTTACAGAGTGTAGCGTGGTAGGTTAAGTGATGTCTAGAAATTTGTTTACCTGTGGGCTGGTACATTGGTCTTAGGCCGGTAAAAACCGAGTTAGTCCTAGCTAAACGTCAATGCCGCTAGTTCGTTTCTACGTTAGATCATTGAATATTAAGGAGATAAGTAGTCCTTGTTTGAGTGAAAGATAACTACCGCAGATTAATCGACGAAATGACGAAGAGGCCTATGAGTCAGCGGTCCCACTCCACTTAAAATCTGTAACCAGCAAATACTATTGCCATGGCAAGGTTCTGCTTTATTTGCACGAGCATCAAGGTACCCTGTTCGCATGATTATCACTATAGGATAAGCCAGTTCAGTCCTACTGAAGATCTGTTTACTCTTTAAATTTAGGCCTACTAGTGTGATAGCCTAGATAAACCCGCTGGTAGCATGCAATAATTATGAATTCAATAGCTTCATCACAGATACCAAGCCAGCTTACTCTGTTTCTTCACAATCAATCTCATTTATTTCCAGTTGTTTATAAGCTACTGCGAATCCGTCCAAATATCTCCACGTAAATGACTTTTAAACAACAGCTTTTAGATTCACTCCATCAGTTTGGTTTTAGCTGAATGTGGATTTCTGGACATCCAATACACGAGTGACGTTTATTTAGATGTAGCTTTTATACACTAAGTGAACAGAAAAATCAAAGTACTGGTTATATTGCAATTAATAAACATAAGATTTTCCATCACTCTGTAGTGCTGTTGGTTCTTGATGTGTGGTAGTGGAAGTAAAATATGATTAGTCGTTGAGCGTGAATAACAGTCACAGCTAACGGACCATTAGATATATGATTTCCCTTCCTGTAACTGATTTCTATTTTCGACTGACTAAGTGTAACATTGTAATTGTATTGAATGAAGTATTGCTTAGTGTTATTCTGGTTTTCTATTTTGAGTCGTCGATTCTCGTTCTGATATAACGATTAATTTTAATAATATATTATCGTAATATACATGAGAGAGACAAGAAATATCTTGAAAATTCATTATATCAAATTGGAGATGGGCAGTTTTTCGTTGAACCGACGAATTTCATTATATTTTGTAATTGGATACGTTTCATCAATAAAATGGATACTTTGGAAGTAATACTAGATCCGATTATGCAAACTCGAATGAAACCTGTGGAATATATTTAGTATGGAAAAGAGATATGACACAACTCTCAAGAGTGATCACGCCTGCAAGGCCGACCCATGCCACCCGATGAATTTGAATTTTGAACGAAACTACTTGTTCTTCCCGCCTTCTCCATCGTTGAGTTTTCCCTCGCGCTAAATGTTGAATATCTATTTCCTCAATTGTCTCGTATTCAGCTTTGAGGGTCGTGTGGTCAAGGTCCAACGCCACTATACTACTCTCCCACCAGAATCAACGTAGCATTGGTTCGATACCAAATTGAGTGCGATTGTTGTGTACAGGAGGTTACCATGAATAATAAGAATCCTCCGGGTATTGATAAGCTGAAAGACAAATCAAGCAACTGATCGGGAACTACATGTAATAACTTTGAAATGTTTTATTGCCTAACACGCTTGAAATGAAAATTTAGGTGAAGATTCTGGTGATATTTTGTTATCTGAGCTGGATGGTTTGATCGTAGAGCTTTCATCATTCTTCTGAACGACATCATCAGCATAAACTTCAGATAGAAGTGAAGTGTTCGAATTTCTTATCAATACCCAGAGGATTCTTATTATTCATGGTAACCTCCTGTACACAACAATCGCACTCAATTTGGTATCGAACCAATGCTACGTTGATTCTGGTGGGAGAGTAGTATAGTGGCGTTGGACCTTGACCACACGACCCTCAAAGCTGAATACGAGACAATTGAGGAAATAGATATTCAACATTTAGCGCGAGGGAAAACTCAACGATGGAGAAGGCGGGAAGAACAAGTAGTTTCGTTCAAAATTCAAATTCATCGGGTGGCATGGGTCGGCCTTGCAGGCGTGATCACTCTTGAGAGTTGTGTTATATCTTTTATTCATAACGAATATATCGTTATATATCTAGCTTACGCTTGTTCTTCATCATGTATTTGTTAATGTTACGAAGTAATGTGTTGGTGTTGAGATCGATGTGACTTACACTTATGATATTATAGATTAAGCGGTTTCGTCATGACAAATCTACAGTTTTAGGCTGAGGTCCATTATTATAGCAGTACTTATATCGAAATAAACCATAGTTGTAGCAGGTGTCATCTTTGGCTCTATATTTAGATATGGATAGATAATGGACGCGTCTAAATACCTATCTGTTAGTGTTACTAGCAGAATGATCATGTTACTTGAAATATAGTTCAGGCATATAGAACCGTAAAATCTGTAAACTCCTAAGCAACACGTATTTCATAATAAACGTTCATGCTGAACTAATCAACTAATCCCTAAATGGGATTAATCAGCTGCCTAAGGTAAAAGCTGATCTAATAATGTTATCTTTATAGATTTCCTCAAAGAAATTTTTAAGGTTTATCACTTCGGACTTAATGATAAGCTCTCGATTTTTGGAATTACAGTTTCCGAGCAACAATGGATAAGCCGCTTCCTCTGGGGTCGAAGACATGGGATGATCGTAAATACGACACTATTGGTATTGGTTTGTGGATTGTCAAGTTTTTGACTGAGATCATGGACCGATTAATGTTAGATAACCATTAAAAACCTGGAAGCACTGGATGGTCGTTTCGTTCTATTGTGGGATTCTTCATCAGTGAGCATCGACGATCCGACACCAAAGGAACTAGAACTTGGGGCCTTCAGTCTAGCGCGCGAACGCTTAAACTCTAGACCATTGAGACATCATCAAACGTTGTTGATGTCCAACTTCAACCAATCGACGTAATTGTGCAACCATCTTCCATTGTCTGAGGTAGATATCTGTCTATATCTAACATGGATGATTGCGACTTCTCGCTAGAAATTCGAGAATTCCCTAACGAAGTTACTCATTATTGAGACATTGTATGGATTGAAGCCAGTCAAAGCGGTGTATCTTATGGTACATTCTTAGATCCCCTAATTTTTCTTGTCTACATAGATGAATTGTCGCGAGTGTTTTAGAAATCGACATTTTTGTTCTCAGATGGTGTCACAATCTGAGGAATAGTAGGTAGTTAGGCTGATCATCTTGATCTCGAAGCTGACCTAGACTAGTTAGTTAAATGGCTTCAAAGTTGGATCTTGGAAATGAATTCTAGAAAAAGCGTGGTAATGCACATTAGACATGGCAATAGTTATGATATACTATCAAAGGTATATCGCTTTCATGCATGAAAACAAAGGCTTAGGGGTAACAGTCTGTCACGACTTAAAAATAACTGTGTATTTCAAAGTAGCAGCCGCCAAAGGTTTTCGAACGTCACTTAATCGAACATTCAAGCGCTTTGACGAGGGGATACTACTGATTTTATACCCAATCTTTGTTAGACCATAGATGAAGCTCTGTGTTCAAGTATCCAGTTCATGTTATACTAACACACTCGGGTGTGTTCAACGTTAGTTAAGGTCTTATCCCAACTCCCATACATTGATCACTTAATGCACAAAAATAACTTTCGCTTGTCAAATCGTAGAACGCTAAGTGACATGATATCGGCATTCTGTATTTTAAAGAAATGATTTGGATATTAATACGTCCTATCATTTTGCTTCCTCCATAAGTAATCATCTCTGAGGCCATATTAAAATGGTTCAAAGACTGTGATCTATTAAACTCAGAAAAGGAGTTCCGTTTTTCTCATTGAGAAGACAGTGACTCGAAGGTCCTACTCGAACAAGTGGTGCTAGATCCATCAAAAAATATTTTCAATGAGAAACTGAATCTTCGCTGGAAAACAAGGTGGCAGGATTAACACAGATCCACTGGCCTTCTATCATTGTTACTGAATACTCAGCCACAAATTTATCGTCTCTAACGTCTTTCCTGAACATATTCTAGAATTCAAGTAGTTTAGTCTTTGAAAGTATGTCCAACAGTCCAGTCACAGACTTCATCGCAAAGCCGATATTGTAACAAGAAGTGTACAAGTTGATTTATCAAGTAAGAACACCCGAAACTGCACATTGTAATGCAGATGGGACTAGATTAACATAGGTGGACATCAGTTCATACAAAAATACCACAATAGTGCATATAATGTAAACATTATTATTTCTGCAAAATAGCACTACTGAAGAACTCCAAGATGGTTTTCTCACAACAACTCAAATACCAGTTAGCTGTTTGTGGACAATATTAATATCTGTGTCCGTATTTGTGTCAATTAACATTAGAACCACATTCGAAAGAATTCTGGGATAATGTAGCATAAACCTTTGGATAAAATAAAAAGTGTAACTAGTCTTCTGGATAAATTTGACTTTTTAACTACTTTTTCACTATACAACAAAAACGTTTTCACAGAAATTCACTGGCAAGAGCCGATTTAAAGAACAAAGAGCAAACACCACTACGTGAGCCAGTCCACGGCTTGTGGATCGTAAAGATCGAACCTACAGAAAATATAAGAATAACTGACAATAACTATGAGTTAATCAACGAACAACGCATTGGATTTTTATTGCATCTATCCACTGAATGTACAATTTATAGACCTACTGACCTAATGTGATGAAAGATATCCATCATCATTCACTTCAGAATGTAAGATAATTAAAATGAATTTTCCAAATTATGGGATGTGTAGTTACATCGTCATGGATAACAACCCATTAAAATGCTTCTTTTACCCACTAGACAAACGAAATGCTTTGTACGATGAGCTAGTTATTCTTAGATGTGATCCGTCAATGTTATGTAAATATAGCTAAATAAAGACCTGGAGTTTGAGTGAAACAGGAAGAATCGAGAAGAAAGGAACCAATCAACTTAATCATTCATTGTAGAGATATTGAATTTTTGTGGGGTCCCCCAGGGCTCAGTACTAGGGCCTCTTCTCTTCTTGATCTACATAAATGATCTTCCTCAACAGGTAACGTCAGACTTATTACTTTTTGCCGACGACGTGAAACTTTGGAGAGAGATACGCAACCAAGACGATATACAGGCACTTCAAGAGGATCTGACTCGACTTCAAAGTTGGGCAGACGATAACGGACTTACCTTTAACACTTCAAAGTGTAAAGTAGTCCATCTGCGACATGTCGCAAACTACAGTTACAACTTAGGAAACTCTTCTCTAGTAGTATCCCAAGTCGAAAAAGATTTAGGAGTCCTGGTGCCCCATGACTTAAAGTCTTACGCTAACTGTGACAAAAATGCCTTCCGAGCAAACCTTGCACTGGTAACGTTGAGGCGCATTTTTGGTCAGTTTGACGGAAGAACTTTCCACACAATCTTCAATAGTTTCATCCGTCCCCATTTAGAGTACGGAAACATAATACTCCCCCCCTCACTCCAAAAGGATAAGGTCACTTTGGAGCGTATCCAACGGCGAGCCACGAAATCAGTTCGAGGACTCAAATCTAAGCCTTACGAAGAACGCCTCTGTTCACTAGACCTTTACCCACTAGAATATAGGCGTCTTAGAGGTGATTTATTAATGGCTTATAGTATTCTTAACACTTCTGGACATCCTCTTAAACACCTACTTAAGCTTAGTTCGAACAATAACCTAAGGGGTAACACCCAGAAACTGGAAACACAACATAGCAAGACGGAATGTAGACACAACTTCTACTCCTTAAGAGTTGTCAAAAGCTGGAACTCGCTGCCGGCCGAGCTAGTCCAAGCGACTTCTCAGGAGTCCTTCAAGAGGCAACTTGACCTATTCTTAAGGACCAAGGATAGCATCGCACTATGATTTACCAATTTCTTTTCCTCTTTTATTGTTAACATACCTAGGTTCCTGCCTGGAGGATTTGGTGATCCCCTGCTACTAGACACGGAAGCCTGTTAAGCGAAAGCTTCTTCTATTCCGTCCACAACCATTTGAACCATTTGAACCATACTCAACCTTTCTTCCCTTCAAGGTCACTTGTTTCATATATGTTGCACCACGTTGCCTAACGGGTTGTAGGGTGGATATGCCATTAGTGTGTTTTAAAGTTACTACCATTTTGAAATTACTCTCTTAACTAGTAGTAAATAATTAATTCCCGTTAGCTTGATGAATATGAATCTTAAGACACTTCGTCGTCACTGTTTTTGACACCCATTCACATTAAAGGGAATGATGCCTATTGTCATCACGTATCCATTGCGTAAAGAAGATTTACATCTAGAGTATAAAATATCAAGTCCACTCTTCATTCAGAATACACAGATGCAAGTACTCAGCGCCGTGATACAATCAACGGGAAAAGAATTCGACATGAATGATTAATGATTGATATCGAAGTTCTCATCCCTTGTTTTAAAATCTGCTTCTACACTTCTCATAAATTGTCAGGATCTTGATTTGTGATCATCACATCAATTTGCCATTAGAAGGGATAAGGGTTACCGGCTATTTGCTGCTCACTATAGTGGTTTTAAAGCCCACGATAATTTTGATTGTAAAGTGGAAGGGATAAATATGCAGTTATAGAGAAAGATAATTAAAAAGTTGTAGGGGTTTAAATAGATCCTCAGAATGATATGCGTTCTTGATCCCATGGTTTTATGCTTTTCTCTTTTCGAAAATTTAGCATCACTAGTCTCACTAGTAATATATTGTGGTCGTTTTTCCTACATAATTGACTATGAGCAGATTTTCTCAGCTTGCTGGGTCTTCTGATCTACAAAAACAATCGTGGGATGTAAAATCAACCTCGGAACTCTGTCCGGGGGATGAAAATAATTGTTCAAATTCAATTAAAAAATCAAAGGATAGAAAATCTCGTGCTTCAAAGCGTTCGACAGAGTCCATTCAATCGCGTTCCACTGATACTGCTTTAAAAAGTAGGTTTGATTTTTAATTCTGTGTCTCATTTCAAAGATTTCATCAATACATCTTTGTATAACAATTGGTCAGGTGTTTTTAAACAGTTTGTATGTTAACTTTTTATTTATTTTTTTGAGCGCAAACGTTGATATAAGGGAGCATCAAATTCATATGTGCCACACAATAACAATGACGGCAGTAGTAGTTATCATTGATTTGTATGGGGGTTGTGATACTGCCCGGGTGCCCAGACCGAAACAAGTGGTTTTCTTAGGGGGCTTCTACCCGAGCCTTTGGCCTGAAGGTCTAACCCACAAGGCAGTATGGCAGCGTAAGGAGTTGCAGTCCCATGGTATCTAGTGACCGACAATAGGTTCATATGCCATTTGTTCCTCCATGATACTGGAGCCCATGTGCATCATTGACTTGGAATCCTGGTCTTCCAACTCTACTAGGTGGGTCCTCCATATCCACCAACCCGTTTAGGGTGCCGGACATTCGCATTTCGTTCTCTCAATTTCGTATGCAACACTCCCGATGAGAGAAGACGGAGTAGGACTTCCCTGATAGTGGCTGTATATGTGTGGTCATGTAAGAGCATTTGGAGAGTGAGAACAAACTCTCATTCCTTGACTGTACCAGGGTATTTGGGGTTGAATGTTAACTAAAACTAAAACATAAAGTAAACGCATTGTGACAACTTATATATAGATTTAACCTCTGAATCTATTTCATTTTTAAAATATAATTGTTCTATTTTTTATGGATGTTAAGTGAACATAAAATAATCATATTTTAAATTCGTAGTGGATTCAGAGAGGTTAAATCTATATATCTTATCTCAGTGAGTTTTCTTTTCGTCTACGTATAACCTATTGTGTTGATGATTAAAAGGAACAATTTTTTTCATGCACTTATTTCTCATCTAGAACTCAAACGAGAATGATAAAATTCCCAGATACATAAGGATCATATTTCGCGCACTATCCTGTGTTCCATGCAATATGATAAGGCTGCATAATTCTGCGGAAATATGTCTCTTTAATAAGTTATGAAATATCCATTAAAAGACTACCAATTACTTTTAATAAAAGCTGAAATGTAGTTTAAATTAGAAGGGTGTTGAGAAAGATTTTATCGGGATTTTGAGGCTCATGTATACAATTAGTTTGAAATTGGGCTCTGGACCATCGACTTCTACTAACTCAATTCAATCACCAGACTTCTACTTTCAGCCTTTCATTTTGATGAGAATATCCCCTAACACGCTCAGACACAGTAGGTCTTTTCTGGAAGAGGTAATGAAGTTGCGGTCGTGAAATAGCGTTCTGAGTGGACAGCGGTTTGTTTATTCCATCGGGTGTACCAGAACATGTAATTCGAATTGAATTAAACTTGCTAACCAGGTGTAACTTTGTTTATTGAGGTTCTAGCTAAATTCACTGTATGTAATGGTCAAAAATGGTAGTAAGTAGTAGCTTGTTCAGAGTTTGTTTGGTAGTGAAATGACATTTATCATTTAGCTTCTGAGAAAACTTTTAGCCTCGATGGATAGCGAGAAATTACACTTGGGCAAATGCCACTTTTAAACTCACTAATTTAAAACATAGTCTAGTAATCTATAGATTGCTTTACTATTTATATGTATTTATTGTTTATAACCTACTCATTCTGAGTGTAGATTTAACGTTTCTCAGTACGTGGCCATTTTCCCAAGTGACTTTTCACCATTACTTACTATACTATTGTTTATGGAGTTCTAGATAAAGATTGTTTTTAGTTAACAGACGAATTTCACTCGTAATTTATCTTTAGTATTTCGTGTTTGATTTGTTTCATTCATCCAAAGTTGACGCAAAACCTACACCGAGTACTGTTACCCTTGAGAGCTGTAAAGATATACAAGAAAACCTAAAAGGTAAACACGAAAACTTGTAATTTTGTCACGTTAGTTTTGTTGTCACATCCTGACCCAGGTTCAAAACACTCTCTACCTACTCCAGTTTAAAGAACCGGGTAGTATAATACGTGGAGTATGACTCATACCCAAGTGTTTGGTGAGTTAATTATATATATGTGTATATACTACTAATACGGTTATTATTTCTATTTTGTCTTGATGATTTCATGCCGCTGTGTTAATGTGAGGCATGCAGACATGAACTGACGGTGCCCGTGTGCGCCAGGTCCTGAGTTGTACATGACTAACTGACCAATGTAAACCCTCATCAAATTTCTTTTTGTTTTTTAGACGATATCGATGGTTTGTACATTGAACCGTGTGGATTTCGTAATGTAAGAAATTCGTGTTTCCTTAATGCCTCTCTCCAACTCTTACTCAATATTCCAACTTTATGTTCAACTTTGTATAAATTTCGCGGTATATGCGTTTCTTCAGCTGAATCCGCTTTCCATGCTTCAGGCGTTCAAGGAAAGAAAACCCCTTTGACAGATCAATTGTAAGTTTTACCTTCAATTCGTCTAGTTGACCTTTTATTTAAACCTTCACACTTGGTAGCTTTGTATTGATGGTAAAAGAATCTGGACATTATTGTCAGTGTTTACTTTTCAGAAATATACTAGGATATCGTACTGGAGATCAGAATATTACGTCGAAATATTCATTATTTCTCTAAATCAGATGTTTCATACCATTCATTTTCCCACAGATTACTAGTTTTATACTGCGCTTACCGCTACCCAAATGTTTGACTACAAGTTATGCATTGTGTACACCGTGTTTGTTTACATTCTACTTTTGATAGATATTAGAAGGCATTTAAAGACTAGTAGTGTTTTTTGCTATATTACACTATTTTAGTACAATAAGTTAATCGTTTTTGGTAATATAAAAGTTAAATCAACTTAGAAGACGTTATCTAAGCATTAGTCAATTGGTAGTATTGGGCAATAATGGTGGGGTATAGAAGAGAACTAAATATTTTGTATGGTAGACACCTTTAAGGGTGATAGTAGTACCTGGTTATCAATTGTATGAATATTTTATGTAAGTGGTGAACAAAACAACGGACTATGAAAATAAGTATTTATGCGATAGAAATTTTTCATTTAACCAATACCACAATAGTGTAGTATAGCAATTTAGGCTGTTGGACATTTATACTGGGATCCAAAGTGATTATAACTGACTGAACCATGTTTTATTTCCGTGTTTTTTGTCTTCAGTGACACGACATTCAAATAGTTTGAATGAATGAAAGAGTGGAAACGAAACTATTTTACATTGATTCGTTAAATTTTCTTTGAAGTTCAAAAAGCAGTATGGTCCTAAGGAACTAAACTACCGTCTTTAAAGATCAAAACATTTCTTTAATCGTCAAGTTAATTTACGGTTAAATAAAGGTGAGAAATCTCGTAATATTGAAACAACTAATTTATAAAGTACGTATACATGTACTCAACCTTGTGGCACATTTCAAATGTGAATAATTTACAGAATAATGAAGCAGACGAAGGAATGGGTTCAGATTTATGGTTCACTGTCTGAAAGACACGAGCTTAATTGTCAACCTATTGTTCCACTGGTTAAAGCCTAAATAATGTGATTGCTAGATCCGTTGATTATTCAACATGTTTGAATTATTTCGTCATTACACGACAGACGCAAAAACTTATACAGATATATGAATAATATATACATTTAACTTGTGTGTGTGTGTGCTAATTGGGCATTCATTTTTCGGCAAATTTAAACATAGGTGATAATTTCTGGGAAAAATACATTCGATCCCCTGATAAAAACAAATGATAAGCTTGATTATAGCAATAATAACGTATCTCCTGGCGTATCTGTTCCCATTTCTTAGTTGTGCCGGGATTTAAGAAAAAAAACCATTCTTGTAATATTTGGTAAAAACAAATAAATCAAAATGTCATATATCTGATAACACATAAATTCCATTGTCAGAAACGAAACGAAACTACTGTACGTTTTTTGTTCAGTATAACATGAATTATGCGTTTTACATTAATTCAGTGTGAATTTTATTCTTCTTTATTTCTTTTATTGTTTGGTTACTTGCTTCGGTTTGGGAACCCGGGAAGGATCGCAGCCCTCACACAAATCAAATGAGATTTGTGTGGCCCATATGTATCTGATGCCTCCTTGTACCAGTATTTATGTGTTCAAATTAATAAATAAATACTATTGTTTGATTATGTTTAGTATTTGTTAACTGATTAACAAATACTAGTTAACATGGTTGATGCCGTGTTTGTTTTTTCTGAAGAGTAAAGAAAGTCTTCTTCTGATATCGGTTTTTGTCTTTCTCTTTACATTGTACAGTTCTCAATGTTTTTCTGTTTTAAGTATCAATGTTTCTGCAGATATAACTTAAGGAAATAATAAAAAAAATATTTATATTGTTATTATTATTATCCTGTTTTATTTATCTCCCATAGGTTAGAATTAATTGAAAAACTCAATCCACAAGTAGTGGAGAACGAAACCATACTAAATAATACTTCCCAATGTTATAATGGTTATGGTAATAAAAATGATAATATTGATAATAATGTCATTCATGCAAACAAAACAAGAGTGGGCAGCAATCCGAATAGTCCTGTTCCCTCGACTTATAAATTGTCACAGTCCAATGGTGTACAACCATTCATGCTAAAACATTTGATTACACCAAACCCAATTTTTGGAAAATTGCTTCATATGAACACAGGTTTTCAAGAAGATGCCGCTGTAAGTATATATAGGATTTATGTAAAGTATTCTTTGTCGTTTGTTTAAAAATAAACTTATGCTTGCCAGTCATTTAGGTTATATAAGGGATTTGTGGTAATTGTTGAGTTTTATAGTTTACATTACGAATAGACTTTCGTTCGACAATTGTTGAAAACTAGCAAGGATTGAACAGCTGTTTCTCCCGAGTACAGGACTCCTCAGCAGTAGGCATCCACAACTGAAACAGGTTTATGTTCTTTGCTTTGAGTTGTACTTTAGTTGTGTGATGAAGTTCAGTGGCTGGGGCATTCGATTTTCAACCTATAAACCACATGCTCGAACCGTCCTTCATTTAATTAGGTTCAGATAACCAAATGTGTTATGTTCTTCAGTTATGTCCTATTAAATCATTCAGAACTATTTATTTAATTTGATCGGTTTAATTAACTTGGTTCTCCCCCCTGTTGATGATTTCAGAGTGTTTACGTTATAATTGATAGTTTGAATAGGTGGTCATTTGATTGTATGAAATGTTTCTTTACATTAGAAATGTTAAGGTTGTTTTTATAATCAGTACTGAGTTTAGCAACAATCATTATTTTTTGGGGGATTTTATTCACTGTGTAGTACTTCATGTGATAACAAAAAATATGGTCTAATTTATTTAACGTTTAAAGATTACAATTTCTATATATTTTCCAGTATGATTAACTTGCTAATACCCTTCTTCTTCTTCTTCTTCTTCTTCTTCTTCTTCTTCTTCTTCTTCTTCCTCTTCTTCTTCCTCTTCTTCTTCCTCTTCTTCTTCCTCTTCTTCTTCTTCTTCCTTTTCTTCTTGTTATTATTATTATTATTAAATACACAAACACTAGTACAGGGAGGCACCAAAATATATGTACGCCTCACGGTTAAAGTGAGGTTGTGAAGAGAGAGAAATTAAAGTGAATATAATATTAATAATAGAAAGAACAAAAACACGGAAATTAGTATACTGTTAGGCGAAAACCAGTTGTGTGCTTGTGTGTATATCAGCAGTAAGTTTATCCATTCTACAGTGAAGAAGTGTCTCAGTAGTTAACGCATTCGAATTGTAGACACTAAATCGCACATTCAAATCTCACTTCTCTTCTGTTTGGACAATGGGGTAATATCACTATGCCTCACATATAGTATGGACTGATGCTCGGATTTTTGAGTATTCAAACATTTTCAATCTAGTGAAAAAATTTCATAGTTATGATTATGATTGTTGCATTTCTTTTCTAGTATTCTTTTAATAAATGAGAACATCGAAATTATTATTATTGCTTAGTTCGTACAAAAGCTTTGGAATAACTGCGCTCCAAAAATAGTATGTGTTACACTAAATAAGTTTGTGTGTTTGCCCGGTCGCACTAATAGAAGTAGTTGATATTTTATTGGATCATTCCTTAAACCTAAGTCTAATCCACAAGATAATAGAGTAACATCAGGAGACGTTCTACGGTAGCTACTGACCAAAAATAGGTTCATACGTCATTCGTTTCTTCGGTATTCTGAAGCCCATGTACATCACTGGTTTGAAATCAGAGTTTTCCGATTCCCTTAGGTCAATCCACTCACCCGGTTCAAATCACCATTCACTTTGGATCCTCTAACTTTTGCAAGCAACATTCCCAGCTCATTAAGGTAGTGAATAGAGACTCTCTAGGAAAGGGTTTCAACTCACAAATATATGAAGGGTTTTTAAGAGGGAGAGTGAATTCTTTCTACTCTCGGCGGTACCAGGGCATTTGGGGACTGATTGATAATAGATTATACTTGATATTGTGAGCAACTTCAAGCTTAATTTTTTGCTTATTTCTTTCACTCAGGAATGCTTGACTTATCTGCTTACACAATTACATGAAGAACTGGGGTGTACAGCGGTAGCTAAGAGTACAGATGTACATCTTTTGAATGATACAGATCAAAGTCAAAATGATTCAGAATGGATAGTTACTGGTCGAGCTGGCAAACACTTTCCAGAAGCTAGAAAAGTTTGTTGTCACTAAAATTTTTGGTTATTGTCAATCTTTTTTATGGATGTATTGATTAAATTAAGACTTATATAAAGAGTGTGGGACGTTTTCATGAAATGAAGTTGAAGCACTCATATGTTTGTTTTGGCCAAGAATTCCCAAAATAATCAAAGTATTCGTTTGTATCTAACAATCATATACATAATAACACATTAGTGCCAGCTATAAAAAGTTCGAATGACAAATTACAAAATTTCGTTTCAGTTTTCATGTAAATCATGTGGAAATTTAATGGATTACAGGAGTGTCATGGATTTTCTAAAAAAAACCCTTAAGCTTCTTTATATAGGAGAAAATAGACCATGATTACGAGTTGTTTGGAGTCCCTCAGTGGAATTCATCTTTCTTTTGCGCGCTTTCTAAAAGTCGACTGTTTCGTTTCCCAAAAGTTTCTGTAATGGTGACGGTATATACGACCTAATTGCTTGAACAGGAATATATGTAAGTGGTTCGAACCTGCGACTTAATGCCTAAAAGTTGAATGCTTTAACCACGGAGCTGCTCTTCTGTGTATTAATTAAATTTGGAATTTTTAACCACATAATTTCATTCCGGTGAGTTAATATCATCTCATTCTTACCGCAAAGTTAATACTTGTCAGAAAAGCGTACTTGCAATCTTGAGTGGATAGGTTCTCCCTATGAGATTCAAATCCGTTTCAACCAGCTTCAGTCTTTGGGAGTTATATACAACTTATCATAAAGGAAAGTGATGAAAAGATCTTTGTTCGAAATACGAACTTTCTAGGTCTATAACTTAATCCAGGTGTTTAAATTAAATAATTCAAATAACAAAACGTAAAAAATGGTACTTTTTGTATTGTTCTTGTTATAACTTGAAAAAGCTGATTTTTCTTGATACAACCGCGTATAACTGAGCACTAGAACACCAAACCCTTCCAAGTCGCAATAAGAAGACAGAAGACTAACGAAAGGAATATTATTCCAAACAGTGTCAAACATAGTACAAAATTGTCAGGTATTTATAGTTTTTAGTGAGAACGAAATCATCATTACAGTCTTCCAATCCGCGTACAGGGGGTTATTAGCATTATCCAATGGGGAAGCTACACGTTGGAATTCTAGAACATTCTTCCGAAAGGTGATTGGATGGAACGTCTTCGGCTCCTTATGAGCCTCTTACAGCTTCCTCGAGTTCACCGGTGGTCCGTCGTCACAGTTCTTTGCGAATTGATCAAAAGTTAATTCTTCAAAGTATGTACACATCGTTTGTGATAATAATACAAACTTATTGAAATCAAATTACTAACGTAGTTAACCAGTAAGGGCGAATTTGTTATTCTACAGCTGGGAAGTAAAATTTCTTATCTTAATTTATCTTATTTGTTTTTCAATTTTCTATAGATAGAACTTGATGGTGGTCAAAGTCCTATTGCTTCATTATTTTGTGGTACACTTGTAACTCGTTCTAATCTAAGCAAATCAGATAGTAGTTACAATGTTCATAATTATTCAACTGTAAATAGTCATGCCAAAAAATCTGCTATCAAAGAACCATTTTTCATGCTTCATGTACCTATAGACAATCCTCTAGTAAGTATGTGTTCATACTCACCATATTCTAGTCAGTTTCTGTTAATTATTATCGCTGTTTTCACAGTTTAAATCACTAACCGTTCTTAATTAAGCAACCGTTGAGAACTTGGAAGCACTAAATGACCGTTTCGTCCCGGTACGGGACTCCTCAACAATGAATGTCCCTGACCTCGCGCATGAACACAGCCTCTAAACCACCTGTTCGGTATCCAACTGTGTTAATGTCTACTTTTAATCAATTCACGATATTGCAAAACTGTCAGGCGGCCTGCTTAAATACCTGGGCTATCTGTTGCTGCCATTTAAATATTTCAACAAGTCTGTTAATCGCATAACTTATTCAGGTGCGTTTATGAAAAGTTTACTACCTTTCACTGTACAGGTTACAAAAACTTACAATCAACGACATTGTGATAGCTGGCAATATGCATTCAAAGGACTGAACATTATTCAGATGTCGATTCCTGAACTGCTTACATCTAACTGGCGATCACTGAATATTTATCGCAAGGGTCGATCAAGAAATAAGAAAAGGAAACTTGTTGAAATACTTCGTGCTGAAAATTCTATATTGTACCAAAAATATATTGAATAAAGCCATTAATAATAATAATAGTAATCACATGCACCAAATAAATATCCCACACTCGACATAGTATTTTTATAAATTCAACTTCTATGTACTCACTTGAGAGGATCGCTTAATTATTGGCTCCACCAGTGATAAGTCCACTTTATTTCAATACTGTTGCAATAACCCCGCTTCGGTTTGGGCGCTCGGGCAGTATCCCGGCCCTCACACAAATCGAATGATGAAGTGCGGCGCATATATATTTGGTACACCCTTGTTGTAAGAATGTTTATGTTGTTCAATAGAGAATAAATAATTAATGACCTGATTGTCCTGACGCTTCTTATTAGCTCATGAAAATTCTTTCTGTTTTCAGCCTGTTCAAATAGATCACAAGAGAATTTGCCTTGTTTACCTTCTATTGCATGACTCAAATACTTATATATATCCATTTATAATACACATGTTTTATTATGTTGTATCATCATTTGCAAAGAAATTTGTTTCCACGCACTGTGTTGGTTAATTTTCTATCACTATGATGTAGTTGCTTCTACTGCTGTGGTCACTTGACTACAACTTACACACACACACACACTTGACCTATAAAACAAACAAATGGTGTATACATTGACGTGCAAAATCAGTAGAATTCTAAATATAGAGTTGCAGTTTTAGTTAGAAGTTTAGTATGACGATGAGCTAATCCATAATCAAGGAAACTATCAAGTTTTTTGTACAAACTTCAAGAGATAAATCATTTTTATCGTAAAATACTTGATAGAGATACTTTTATACAGTGTTCAGAATGTGTACAACTGTTATTTTTTTATTTCAACACATATATTGGTACAAAAAGGCACCAAATACATATGCGCCACACAAATCTCATTCGATATGTGTGAGGGCTGTGATACTACCCGGGTACCCAAACCGAAGCAGGTTGTTTTCTTAGGGGACCACTCCCCGAGTCTTCGACCTGAAGGTCTGATCCACAAGGCAATGGAGCATCAAAAGGAGATGCAGTCCCATGGTAGCCGGTGACCAACGATTGGTTCATACGCCATTTGTTCCCGCAGGATACTGGAGCCCATGTGCACCATTGGTTTGGAATCCGGTTAAAGCGCCGGACCTTCGCTTTTCGTCTTCTCAATTTCGTAAACAACACTCCCGCCACGAGAAGGCAGTGATTAGGACTTCCCTGGCAGAGGCTATATACGCGTGGCCATGTGAGAGCATTTCGAGAGGGAGAGCGGACTCTCCCCACTCTCGGCATTTGGGGGCACAACTGTTACGGAAAATACTTAGTGTCATTTAATTTATGGTTAGTAAAAGTGAGATATGATTAACCACTGAGCGTCAATAGATACTAACTAAATAGAAACTGACTACTAATTATTTATTATCTTATTCCCTTTCCTATTGATTGATTTCTTCTCTGAACTCACTGAGTTTAAAGTGCTCATAATTATTTTTTGATTGAGATCATGAACCGATTAATGTTAGACCATCACAATTGAAAACCTGGAAGCACTGGACGGCCGTTTCGTCCTATTGTGGGACTCCTCAGCAGTGCGCATCCACGATCCCGCGAGCGGGATTCGAACCCAGGGCTTTCGGTCTCGCGCGCGAACGCTTAACCAACTGGACCACTGAGCCGGCATAATTATGTTGAATAAAGTATTATCTCTAGTCTGATTACTCGATATCTCTATGTTTGGTCGTGAATCGTATATCTAGTATAATGTGATCCCTGTCTATGTACTACGTATCGATCGAGTATCTGGTCTAAGACTAGAAAAATTCCTATCAGCAGTCGTGTCGTTGTATTTTAGTAGTATAACGTAGCAAACAGAAAATATTTCTTTATTAATATAGGGGTGTGTGTGTATGTGGAGATTGTAGTATTTTCAAAATTCATCTTAGCTGGTTTACCATTAAAAGCCTGGAACTACTGGATGGTCGTTTCATACTAAACTTCCTCCTAACGTTGTTCTATAATTCCTATATATGTAATTCTTAAGCAAGTTTAATTAATTTAATATTTTCTAGGCACTAATGAATTTCCTATAAAATTATCCATGATCTCAATATAACAAAGCTTTAGAGTGAATATATATATTCGAATTGTTGAGATTATGTAGCAATCTATGTACAATATTAAAATCAGGGATACTGATAATAAGGATTTAAAAAAAAACGAAAATTCCTAAAATCATTAAACTTTTACAAGTTCCGTTATTTCTGCTGTGAATGTCTTTTGACCTATAAAAAACTCTCTGGTTATGTTGGCTGGAAAGTGGCTTCAAGTTCACGCGATTAGTTTAAGAATCTTTAAAACTCGTACTCTACGATATTATACTTTTATTCCAGGTAACGTTCACCTTAGGATATCGATTGTAGATGTGACATTCCTTTTTTTTTTTCAAAAAAAGAAAAACAGTTTCTTGTACAATCATCCTGTGAAAATAACAAATTTACATGAATCATTTAGTCCTTCTGGTTTGGATTCCATTCAAATTAGAGTTTGCATTTGCTCAAACTCATAATTAAATCATGTCATCATTATTAATGAATTCAATGAATAGACACTCTATTATGAGAGATCATTTATGATAAAGTATTTGTGACCTAATCAAAGATTGAAGCATATACTGATCTCTTGAATGAATACTTTTTTAAAACGAAAAATGTTTGCTTGAAGATAGAAAAAAAAGAATAAATCTTGTGCCTGGGAAGTCCTAATCACTGCCTTCTCGTGGCAGGGGTGTTGTTTACGAAATTGAGAGGACGAAAACCGAATGTCCGGCGCTTTAACCGGATTCCAAACCAATGGTGCACATGGGCTCCAGTATCCTGCGGGAACAAATGGCGTATGAACCAATTGTCGGTCACCGGCTACCATGGAACTGCATCTCCTCACTATACTCCACTGCCTTGTGGGTTAGGCCTTAAGGTCAAAGACTCGCGGAGTGGTCCCCTAAGAAAACAACATGCTTCGGTCTGGGCACCCGGGCAGTATCACAGCCCTCACGCAAATAGAATGATTTATGTGGCACATATCTACTTGGTGCCTCCTTGTGCCAATATCTATGTGTTAAAATAACTAAATAAATAACTCATAAGTTGTATAAAACTGTATTTAAGCTTCGTTAAATTCTTAAGAATATAAATTCTATGCTCCTTGGCCAATGAGCAGTACAAACGATCTATGCTCTTCTTCAGTGTTTCATAAGATCAGGAGTGCAGTATAGTTTCTACCAGTCGAACTGGTAATTCTTACACGTAACCGATTAATACATCACAACTGAATGAATTTTGCGAGAACAGAAATGCTGACTTATTGACTGAATAATAATTAATAATAATAATATAAAGCTGTTTTTTATATTCACAATATTTAATCAATAGAGTCAGTCAGTCGGTCATAATCATCGTAAAGCTGTGGCATACACGTGCGTTGGTCTCACTCGCTCCAGTTATTGTGATTGATCCTCAAGTAATTAAGTCAATACATGGTTAATCAGTTATCTTAATTCATTAATTGTGCATATTAGATGTTCTTAAGCTAATAAATTGACCTTAGGTAAACTTAATAATATGAGACTCAAATGAGATTTTATTTTAGCAAAATTACTCATATTTACATATGCTTGTCTTTTTTTGTTGATGTGACATATCTCACCTACTTTTATGTGTGTAATTTTGATTACAAATTATATCATTTTCCTCTAGGTTAATTCCGTTGAATCAGCTTTACGGTATTTAGCTGAACTTGAAGTAATAACAGATTATCATAATTCTTCTGATTCTCAAATATCATTGGTACATCGTCGATCAATGATAGATCGTCTTCCACCGTACTTAATTATACAATTGAAACGATTTTATAATGAATCTAAGGTGAAAAATGTACAAAATATCAATACATCTGTAAATAAATTTAACTCTATTACATCACAAACATCTGTAATTATTCGTAAACATTTGAAATCAGTTAATATCCAATCTAAACTTCTTATACCAAAAGGTAGGTTCGAAACGCGGTGATTAGCGCTTGTATATTTTCATAATAGTAGCATAGATATGTGATGTTACTCTCATTTACCAAGTATAGATTTGTGGACTCAGCTGTGAGTCATGTTTTATATCGGAGGGTTAATGAGACTCTATTAGACTGTTCGAACCGAATTAGTTAGAACGTTGTTTGTAGATATGGCATGTGCTTTGCACCTTGTAAGTGCAAAGTATTTTACAAGACTGAGCCCGTTTGATTTCAATTTAATTAACACTCTAAATTGTCATTATTCTTATTTACCAAGGGTAGTAACGAATATCACGTTTGTTTAGTCTTTTGGTGCTGGTCAAATTCCATCGATTAAGTTACAGTGTGACCACTAGTCTAAGGGGTTGTGTTCAAATGTTGGGTTATTGGAGGTTGTCGGCAGGAGACCGCAGAGCTTAATTTTATGCTGGTCGGTACTCGTCAGCAAGTTGTATCTAGAATCTTGAGGGAAATGATACTCAGACTATTGGATAAAGTTGCTTCACAATCTGAGACATTACTACTGATCTATTCTACCTGCACGAACCTGTATACGTATATATATTCCATTATCTAAGCCATCACCTTTTTACTTTCTTTCTGTTTACACATTTAGAACTTTTAAATCAAGAAACACATTTCAGTCATTCACAACGTAATTATCGTCTTCAAGCTGTTATATTTCATGTTGGTGAAACAGTTGAATCAGGTCACTATACAATTGCTGTGTGTATAACTAATCCCCTGAAAAAATCAAACAGCAACTCTTCCACATTTATCTATTTTGATGATGATCGTGCTTGTGTGTTAAATAACGCAGAAAGTATAAATCTCCTACTAACCACACATCATCCATTAGATACAAAAAATTGTGTATTCCTTCATTTGAAAAAACCAAAAACATTTCAAACTAATCCTGAACACGTAATAACATCATCATCATCATCTAACCAACATCACAGTGCATTAAACGTTTCTATCAATCATCCACGCACACCGTATATTCTTCTCTATGAATCCCAAATAGGAGTTCATTCGGACACATGATGATAATGTGTACATGTCACTGAATCATTTTCTGTGTGTATGTGTATGCTGGCATTTCAATTATTCTTCTCCTTTCTTTTTCTATGGTTTTGATTTTTCTATTGTTTGATTGTGTAACTTTTTTTTAGCAAAAACTCTGAATTATCATTCTTTTTCCTATGAAAATCATTTGTAGACGATGTTTTATTTTTCTTACCATAGTTTTTGTAAAAATCTTTTCTTGTTTTCTGTTTGTGAAAAGTTTCGGAAAGAGACCACAGGGGGGAGGTTAACAATAAGGAACCATTACGTGATTGCATTACATTTGTAATTAAATGAGTAAATTATTCAACAGTACATATAGAATTTTGATACAGTAGTGGGCCAATCAGAAGTCATCAAATGATGTGTGCACATGATCGTCCAAGAAATAGCTTTAGTTTTTAATTGATAAAATATAAACCATTGATAGGCTTGATTACCTAAGAGACAGACGTATGTGTATGCTAATGAGTACACATACATGTTATTTGGTTCAGCCAATTAAACTTTGTCTTACTATTCATCTTTCCTCTTGAGTAACAGGGCTTGTGTGTAGAAAGTGTATCAGCATTGATTCTCTGTCAGCTCGTGTTATAGCAAATTTATTCTATTGTTGTTAACAATAGTATTCTTTTATTAAGGGGTTGTAATCTCTCGTTGTTGATGTTCAGGACTGTAACTGATCAGTGTTTGTTGCCATATTTGCGTTCTGAGCAAATTGTCTTTTTATGGTGCTTTAGTTTACTTGGTACTTGGATAGTTGGAGAATTCAGGATGAGGGTTTTAGTTGGGTCTCAGCAACTGGACGTCCTAGTGTTCTTTTATTTGTTATTTGAGTAGTTCTGATGCAACTGTTTGAGGCCGGTCACGCACGACGTGTTTGCGGATAGTTTTAAGTGTGCTAGTTCCGTACTTATAAGACCTTACCATAGAGGATGGAAATCCTTTTGGCAAGGTGTGATGTACTGTTTTCAGGGCCTTCTTAGTCCTCTCCCGTTGTAGAAAGGCAGCATATCTGTAAATGTTGGTTGAGAGAAAAAACTTTCTACCGACACAATCCTATATACTCGGCAGTACGACTCGACTTGCGAACCACGAGTTTGTTGCGTTTAGTTTCACTGCTCTTCAACCAACCTGCTTGGTTTGGTAGTTTCTAAAGGAATAAATATCTCAACGATTATAACTGGACTGGGTCATTGCGAACTCGAAACCCAACTACCACGTCAAGGTAGTTGGTATCATTGGGAGGTTTGTTATTGATGTTGATCACCAGTTTACTGTTATGATGGCAGTTCCTCGGAGTGAATTAACGAGATGGATATCAAAAATGTGGAATTGTCCGCTATATCAACAGCACTAATTAAAATCGATAGCTGTCATCATAAGATTGAGAAAATGAAACGGTATTTAAACAAAATTAGCTCATTGGTGGGCTACTTGGAGATGAGTTCGTGAAGTTTGGTCAGGAAGTCATCAGTGTAGTTCATTGATTTCAAGAGTGAAACATGTCACCAACGATATAGGATAGTCACGCTCTTTCACAAATTGAGTGAATATATGAAAGTAGCATCGGGTGTTAGTTCGGCTGTTTTAATCACTAACTGTTGTCCTCAAAAATTAGGAAGTTCTGTCTTCAATCGCCGGTCGGGTTGTAGATTTCCGCTCTTGAGGAGTTCTGTACTAGTACCTAACAGTCGTCCAATGTTTCTATTGAACACATTGTTGACAATGATGACATTGGTCTTGACAGTTTAAAAAATACTTTTAAGTATGATTTTGTGACAAGGTTTTCGACCATAATTTTCGATACCTGAGCCTCGTGAACCTAAAAGGAAGACAGAAATTCATAGAAACTACACTTCTGCGGTTATTTTGTGTATCACAAACGTGGTATATTTAAAATGAAATGTAAGTTTAGGGCTGTAAAAATAACTGAAAAGGACAATAGAATTGATAATCGATTCGACACATAACCTATCAGATTGAAGTGATTTCCTGGATTTTTTGCTAATTTTGCAAAACACACGGATTGATTAAAAGTAATTTTCTCAGCTTCTACGATTTAAAAGTGTCCTTGAAATAATTTATAATATTCAGGTGAAGTATATAACTGCTCTATCCATAATGAACGGATGATATTAATACGTAACTCGGCATTGATTTATGAAATTGTCTACTTTATAATTTATTCTAAAAAAAATGGAAGGAATTTATTTAAGATTCATATTGACTGTTGTAAAATAATTTCCACCAATCTACTGATTTCCATTTATCTCTTGAATGAGATCTTGTAATTTGTCATTCAAGATTATAACACGTAACGAATTACCATGATATTAAAAATGATCGATAATGATGTATATTATTGAATAGTAGTAAGTAATATAGCGTTATACACCAAAAAAGGAATCGAGTGAGAACAACCAAAGTTAGTTGGGATATATTTTAAATTTTACGTTTCTTTAGACCATGCATCTTTAGTCATTTTTGTTACTATCTACAATGTAATAATAACAACAACAGGAAATGATTAAAATATAAAAAAAGACAGAACATTTTCTATGCCAGATTATGTTACTATTTTTTTGATACAATCATCATACTGGATAATCATTCTATTTAATCAATATAAATCGTCTTATCAATTATAGATTAAACTTGTTAACTTGTTTCTAAGTATGATTTATCTTCTAATATTGGATAGTGTAGTGTCAAGAGTGGGATTCTATACGTTCATAATATTGGATAGTTTTATAAATAATCAATACTACTCTTTATTGATTTATACATCATCAATAGTATTTCTTTATTATTATTATTATTATTATTATTATTATTATTATTATTATTATTATTATTGTATTGATCTATTCAATTAAATTAATCAATAATATTAAATTGTTCAGCTTATTCGACATACTACTGATCTACAGATCTACTCTATTGAATTAAGTCTAATGGAAATGAAATTTAGTTTCTAATTAATTAATGGTAATGACTTATAAGTGTTTACTTAAGATAATGACTCTTTTATTTATTACTGAAATAAGATCATTAGAATAAAAAGAATTGAGAACTATTCAGTTATCGTTTTTTTCGATCTAAAAACAAAAGGGGTGACGATGATCAATGGCTATGAATTAATAATAGTTCATTATAGGATACTTAATTTAAGTAAGTTTTATTCATTAATGAATTAGATTTCTTTCAATTATATAATTCACTGGTTACAACTTAATTAAGGGTAGTAAAATCTATAAGGACAAGGTCAAATGAAATTTTTTAATAGATAAGGTAAACATGTTGAAATGTCACTGGTTAAGATAATGAGTCAGATGAAGCTAGATCACCATGGAAAACCCGAAAGCACTGGACGGCCGTCTCGTCCTATTGTGAGACTACTCAGTAGTGCGCACCCACGACCTCGCCCCATGCGAGGTCCGGACCCAGGACCTACTGGTTTTGCGCGCGAGCATTTAACCACTGGACCACTGAGCCGGCATCCAATGGTGTTAATGTCTAACTTCGACTAATCCACGAAATTGAGAGACACATCCACCATTGTCTTCAGTGAGTTACTACCTCACAACTGACCCAGTTGAACTCCACTGTTCACTACTCACTAGAACCAGTAGGTTCTGGGTTCGAATCCCGCAGTGGGCGAGGTCGTGAATATGCACTGCTGAGGAGTCCCACAGTACGACGAAATGGCCGCCCAGTGCTTCCAGGTCTTCCATGGTGGTCTAGATTCAAATGACTCATGATTATAACCATTAAAATTACTACAATATCCACAAAACCCATCTTATATCGAAATATCAATGGTTTTAATGAATATGAACTACGAGTGTATGAAATGGGAAGCAACAATATACCATAGTGACAACTGTCAGAGTATAAATATGTCTTGAGTTATAGAATTTTGCAACTGGAATGAAATTTAAAACGTGCTGTAAGATAGCTTATACCTTAATTAGAGTTCAGTATATTTAGTTCTTAATGTGCTAATAATCTGCTAATCATGTACTGGAAGTACTTGAGCCATAATCAAGGGTGTCTTTTTTGTTAAAAAGATATTCACAAACACACACACTCTAATCTCATCTTCTAAATCTAACCCTCTCAACTTTCACCACTAATACCAACATAATAGGCATTGTAATCATTGTTCATATTAATTCATGAAGCGAATCCTTACCAGTTAGATTTCGGATTTCATCTGTTGAATTTTCACCAAAAATTAATCAGTCCATGTTGTTGCATAGTATTCGTTCAAAATAACTGATATCAATTCACAATGAGGATACTGATCTTAAACAGCAACCGTAATACTTCTGATATTAGTCGTTTTAATGTATGAATTAATGTGAACGAAAGGACACTTAGAAAATTTAGTACGTTTAGCCTTACTACTAACTAGTAGCACAAATTGAATTGTCAAAATACCGACGAAACATCAGTAATGATTTTTTGTTCAAACCTTATTTAAAACTAACACATCAATAGTTTTCCACAATCACAAAACTTAATTCAAATTTTATTTCAGCCGGGCCCAAAAGATGAAGGGATAATAAACAGGTTTGGAAGGTCAGTATGTACAAATACACTTGACAATAGTTTTCAATATTCACGAGCACTGGCTGAATGGAGGTAGTCTACCGAAAACTCTGCTGAAAGTAGGTTCCGAAGTAGTTGGCAATTGTCACCAAGGTATAACTAATAGTCAGGGATCTAGTGCACTCTATGGGCTCGAATTCGTTGCATCCAGTCTCACACTCTGAGATGTTTCTACTAAGTTATTTGAACTGAGTTCAACTTTCTGTAGAGTTGAGATATTCAAAACTAATTGGTCACTGAGTAGTGGTCAATGTCAAGTTTGTCCAGTACTTCAGAAGTGATGAGTCCCAAATAGTACAACCTATAGATACAAGGTTTCCAACTAACCAACTCCAACCATATAACACTAAAACATAGTATATAGTTACGTAAACTACTGGCCAAATTGTAATTTAATCGATAGAATTCGATTAGCACAAAAGGATCAGATAAACATGAGATTGGTCAATACTCAGTGATATATCAATTGTTAATATTCAAGAACATCTATTACTTTCATTAATAGTATTAATTACCCTGTGGTAACAAGTGACTAGTTTCGGGATTTGCTCCATAAGTTTACGTGTCCTTGCCAAAACAGTTACATTCGCCAAACATAAAGGAGGGCATATCTTAGATCTTTTGAGCATGTTCCAAAAAGCCTTAGAACAAGAGAAAGAAAAACTCTAAACAATACATTCACCAAACATCTTGATACAGGAGACATCAAGTCGATACCTTGCAATCCTTCAAGGTGATCAGTAAGCGTCCAAACTCTAGTCTTCTGAAGTTCGCTGAAGCCGTTGCTATCAGGTGTCAAAAACCTGACTTATGTATTCAAAAGGAGGTGCTTGTTGATCTTTCCTTGCCTTGGTGACAAATATTCCTTCGCTAAATCTTAAAATTTTTTTCTTTTTCTTTAAACTCTTTGTTGAATTTACTACATCATTGAATTTTATTTCAACTATCATCCAAATTAATAATCTTATTCTGTCAACTGAGCTCTACTCATTTTGTTCCTATCAATGTTTATTCATTATGTAATCGCTGGTATTCTAGCCGTTTGGACTGTTGTCACAATCAACGTTGTCGAATGTTCTTTCACATAAGGTATATATTCACAACATTCAGTCTATTCAATTTATTTATACCCTTGCTACACTACACTAATGTGTCGTCAATATAACTTTCAACGAAACCTCTCATGTAAGTATGTATGTATTTATGATTTTAAATATCACAGGTAGTAAATCAGCTGACAAGAACCAAACGTAATAAAATGAATTCAAGCTATTCTGCTAGAATCTTTGTTCTTGCTCTTTTCAAAATGATAAAGAGAATTATATATATGAAATTTATATATTCAGCGGTTTGATTACTCTCTTAGGTCACCGATCAAATTACAACAAAACAATTTTTTTTAATTTTTAAATTCAGTGAATTTAGTCAACAAAAACAAGAACAAAAACTGTAAACATTTTGACGTTCACTCATTTGGTATGACAGTCTATTGAAACATTTCAGACATGAAGATTTCAATATTGATAATAAGAAATATTAGTTACAATATCAAATTGCCATTACTTACTAACGTCTGTTACTCCTCGTGGAGGAGCATAGGCCATTACCAGCACACTACATGCAACCCTGTCCTGGGTAATCCTCTCCAGGTTCTTCAAGTTGTTATTCATCATTTTCATTTCTGCTTGTACTTCGCGACGTAATGTGTTCTTTGGTCTTTCGCTTTTCCGTTTCCCTTTAGGACTCTAATTTAGCGCTTGCTTCATGATGCAGTTTGATGATTTGTATAATGTATGTCCTATCCACTTCCAACGTCTTTTCCTAATTTCCTTTTCAGCTGGAAGTTGGTTTTGTTCTCTTCCACAGTAAGCTATAGCTGATGGTATCCGTTCAACAGAAATTGAGTATCTTGTATAGACAACTATATATAAATACTTGTACCTTCTTGATGATGGTTGTTGTAGTTCTCTACGTTTCAGCTTCATACAGTAGAACAGACTGTCTTGACGTTCATGTTGAAGATTCCGACTTTGATACTGGCTGACATTTGTTTTGAGTTCTATATGTTTTTCAGTTGTAAGAATGTGGCCCTTGCTTTGCAAATCCTCAAATTGCCATTAGCTATATATATATATATATATATATATATATATATATATATATATATATATATATATATATATATATATATATAAGCATAAATTCAACTCAGATTGAACAATATCTTCATGTCAGTCATTGAATAATTTTCTCAGATGCATAAAATTCATGTAGTCAAACTTGACAATTATCTTATAAAACATTAAAATATACAGAGAAAAATTAAGAGAAGAATCAAAAAAGAAGAAGAAGAAGAAGAAAAAGAAGAAGAAAATCATCACTTATCACAAATTGCATGATATATCACTATCATTAGATAAACTATTCCAACTTTATCTTTTAAAGAGAAAAAAAAGAGAAAGAAAAATTTAAATAATAAAACATAACCAGAAAAAAAACAAACAAACAAACAAATAAACAACTTAATAAATGATGAAAATGAGAACGAATAAACGAGTTTTTGTTTCTAAGACAGAAAAAAACTACAACTAGTAACAACAAGTCATAAAAAACTATTGATTATTTCAATTCGTATCTTTTTCTGTTTTATAAAAATCCATATATATATATATATATATATATATATATATATATGTATAGATAGATAGATAGATATAGGATACAGGTTGGGAAATGATTACTACGAATTGTGAATATGATTGGTTAACTTAAAAGTGATCACATTTATAATTGACCAATCAGAATGATGATTACGAATGGCGCTCAAAAAAAGTTTATATTTATATATGAATAAGATTACTTGTCAAATCATTCAACACTTGAATATGATTCTTAATTTATTTTCAATGTTTATTTAATTGATTATTTATTTTAATTTCTAACTATATTACTCATTACTACTTATATTAAGTAGTATAATACTGAAGTTCTCATTCAATTATTTGATTAGAATGATGTTAGTTCTCATTGAATATAAATAATTATGTAAACAAAGTGAAAGAAGATATATCTTTTTGATAAAAAAAGAAGTAATCCCCTTTTGAAATTGAACATTGAACGGGTGAAAAAAAACAGAAAATAAAAAAAAGACAATTGATATCATTCCAAAAGTATCCCTTTATTTATTTATTATTATTACTATTATTATTATCATCAAATAAATTCCGTCTAATTTATGTGTAGTTTAATTGGATTTCAATCTTATTCACATTCATATTTACATCTTTATGAATCGATCATGTTCATTCATTAATTTTTTTCGATCCATCTAATAAAATTTGAAAGATTTGAAGCGATTTTTACTGAAATTCTTGATCCAACTCTCTCTCCCGCCCTCATCGGAACAAAGAAAGCAAACTCAACAATCAATTGAATTATATATTCATGTAAGTGTTTATATTCAATTCATAATCATGTTGTATAAATTAGATATTTTCTTGTATTTTCTTTGATAAATTCTTAATGAAGATCAGAAAGTGGTTTTTATGGATCTATAATAATAATAATAATTTAATAGGTTGAGATCATGAGTTAATTATAAGCTGAGAATCATGACAATAGGATGAAACAGCTATTCAGTTCTTCCAGGTTATACATGATCGTCTAGCTTTAATTGAATCATGATCTCATCTATTAAATTCTCAAGTATTGATTATTGATTAGTTAGAAAATAATAATAATAATAATAATAATAATAATAATAATAATAATAATAATAATAATAATAATAATCAGTTTTTCAGCATGTAAATTAATCGTTGTCTACTTGATTATCTTGAAATAACTGATGATTATGAACAAGATATAATAATGAGTATTAATTTATAATTCAATTTTATATACTAATTAATATGGATTGATTGAAATGAGCCATTAACACCATTGGATACTGGCTCAGTGGTTTAGAGGTTAGACGTCTACGCATGAAGCCAATAGGTCCTGAGGGCGGAATCATGGATGCACACTGATGAGGGGTCCCATACCAGGACAACATGACTGTCAAACAGTGATTCTAGGCTTTCTAGCTTTGATCAACTCATGAATTCAACTATAAAATTACAAATCACTCTATTACTTTAAAGGGTTCACTTTATGAATTGATTATACATAGAAAATTATTGTTAATCAGGAAATAGGATATAAATGTTTATGGTTAGTGTGATAATCCTCACAAGTGATCATGTAACATGTCAATAAAAATCAAACTCATTATCTTTAAGTCTCATGTTGAATACTTCTGTTTATCAAATCATTTAATTATTACTTAATTTCAATAAAAAATTAATAAAATTCATATTACTGTCAGAGCGGGTTGAGATCATAAGTCAATTGAAACTAGACCACCATAGAAAACTTAGAAGCACTAGACAGTTGTTTTGTCCTATTATGAGACTCTTCAGTAGTATACATCCACAATTACGCTTCACAAGATCCCATCTAATATTTATCAGTTTCGCGCATGAACACTTCCATGTGTTCTATGATGATCTAGTTTTAATTAACTTATAATTTCATTTAATAAAATCATTATATATATTATATTTACAAATATAATTTGAATAGAATGTAAGTTGGAAACAACAATCAAATGAAGTAATGAATGTTTCATTGTAAATATATTAAGGGGGTGGTGGTGGTGGTGATGGTGGTAATGATAGACATTCATTGTCTTCATTATGATTGGATTAAATCTCTAATCAATTTTTATTATCTAAAATTAATCAACTTTATTAAACTTTAAATGAAACCAAAAAACAATTTGTAGAAATCTATTGTAAATGGATCAATCAATTTAAACTTGATTGAAGTTCACTATTAACATCGTTGGATACCAAGTTATTGGTTTAGAGGTGAAATATTTGCTCACAAGACTGAAGGTTTTGATTTTGATTCCTGTGAGAGAGATTGTGAATGCTTACTGTGGATGTGTTCCATACTAGAATGAAATGACTGTTCAATACTTTCAAGTTTTTAATTGTAGTCTAATATCAATCACTTCATGATCTTAATTCATAAGTATAGAAATTAGATTTAAAATCAGAGAATATTGAATGTAAAATTATTTTTCATTCGTTAAAAATAAACTTACCATTAGTAGTCATACATAATCTGGTATGATATGAGATCTACGATATAAAGTCGTATGATAATCACTATACTGTATAATCATTAGATTAGTATTCAATAGGGTGAAACTATAGTTTATGGACGACCTTTGAGCGACGCTAAAGTGACCTTGAAAGTGTCTACCTACTTACTAGGGCTGAGTGAGGGTTATAGAGCAGTTTGAAGAATAAGGATTACGATTTATAGTTGATGGTTGGGGTCAGGAATTAGATTTAGGGTTTTCATCACGAATTGACATCAGCTATAATACCAGGATTCCATTTAGTCAAATGAGTGAATGAATTTCGCGCAAAAATGCAAGACCTGTTATCCTAAATCTGATTGGTTTGTCCATAAATTGTAGTTTCACCTTCAATAGTTTATAGTTCTTGTATAGTTTATTGTATAATAATCAATTTAATTTTAATTATTTGGATCCTTACATAGATGCTTCACTTTATCAAATGTAAAACATTGATTTAATAAGAAATTACAATGTATTGTAGAATGACAAGAATCTCCTGAAATCTCATAGTTTCCCATTTTTAAATCTATCTTTACATTGAATATACTATTTATTAAGATTTCAGTAGTATTTTAATGATAGATATTATTATTATTATTATTATTATTATTATTATTATTATTAGCTTTATTCAATATTATAATTTTGGTACAATATAGAATTCTCAGCACAAAGTATTTCAACAAGTTTCCATTTCTTTCTTCTTGGTCGGTCCTCGCGATAAATATTGAGTGATCGCCAGTTAGATGTTAGCACTTCAGTGAATGAACAACTGAATAATGTACATTCTTTTCGTTGTACATTGCCAGCAACCATATGGTCTCTTATTGAGTTTTCTGTAACTTTGACAACGAAAGGTTGTACACTTTTCAGAAACGCAGCAGAATAGGTTATGCGATTAATAAACATAATGATACATTAAAACAAGCAAAAATAGATAACTTGTTGAAATATCTAGATGACAGGAACAGGTAGCCCAAATGCTCAGGCAGGCCGCCTTATATTATATTATTATATTATTTTTTTTATAAAAAATTACCAATAATTTGTAGTAAATGTTAAATTGATTTTATGTTATTGATTTCACACCCCCCCACAAACCAATAAATATACATTTATTTAGCCTATATGTTTGCATATATATAACTGACATCAGGGTTCTCTCAACTTTACATAAAAACAAAAACGAATGAAGTGCATGATGCAATTTTACATTATGGTTCTAGTAATAAAAAAAATTGTTGCCAAGCTAAAGATTCATCCTTTCACTAATTAATTAATTAATTAATTAATTAATTTTTATTTTAATTACCTATTTCCTATTTTTTCTTTTAATTAATTGGATCTAAGAGAAAAATTTTTGTTGAATGAAATCGAAACTGAAAAATGTAATAAACTATTGAAGCGGTGTTTTAAAGGGTAGGGTATGGGATGGTAGTGGTGGTGGTGGTGGTGGGGGATCGAATAAAGACGAAGTTCATTTTCAGTCACCTTTTTAATGTCATTATTACATTAATGGACAATTTAAAGAAAAAGTTTTTACCTTAGTTAGGAATTTTCCCATAAAAATAACAAATAAATATAATCATTCACATCGCGGACTAACCTTAGTTTGATGATTACTGAACGAACTGGATCTTTGAGTAGCAAAACTTGTAGTTAGCAGTTAGTCAGTAACAACGTGGAACTTCGTACGTACGTACGTACATCAGTTCGAATCGCCATATCACATTAGCACACAGATACAATTATCGATTTAAATCCCATAGTGGTAAAGGTAGTAAAAGTATAAGCAGTAATCAGAAATATTAGGGTTTGAAGATGCTAGTCAAGGAGTATAATCCAGTGAAACAAAGTTAGGAAGAGATAAAAATGGACATGAAAAATTCAGAAGATTGGAATTTGGGAGAACATCCTTACAAAGTACCCATTTCCTAACAACTGCATTGCTTACTCGTTGGTTCCAGGATATACAAGCAATGTTTCGAAGACACCTATGATCAAATACTAGTAACGTACGAATATCCTCTACTCTTACCGGCCATATTTGACTGCCATAAAGTAGGACGAAACGAACTGCTGCGCAGTATACACTTCCTGATCATTGTAGACCCTGAGTTTGATCGCTGGTTGGGTTATGGATCCTTATTGCTGATGAGTTTTATGATAGAGTCAAATATATGTCTAATGTATTACGGTTTTCAATGGTCACCTAACTGATGATTGATATCATTACAATTAAAATATAATGATGAGATTATTCAGTATATTAAAATATGTCCGCAAGTGTAAGTAATAATTCGTTGCATTTGTTGTCTATCTATCTCTGAGTGGTTGTTGGGATATTCAGGAAAGTATCCCAAAAATTATTCTGTTAAATCTAACGCTATCCTTGGACTTGAAATGGTGTTATTTTCTTATTGGTCAATATTTACTTCACGTGTCGTTTTCCTACTGGTCAGTATTGTACGATGTTTTTTTCCATTTTATGGTACAATGTGGTCTGCTTGATTGGTATATAAACAGAGTATGTTTGAAATATAATGATTCATATATCCGAGGCTGAGACTTGCATTCTGGACTCAACTGGTTGGGCCAGACAGGGAAGCGGGACCAATCAGAACCCTAGGTCGTTCTTACGTGTTTGCGCGTCTTTGGTCCGATCGATAATTCGCTGTCCTCTAATCTGCCGTCACAAATATGGCAGTGGTAATTCTCTTGAGTGATAATTCATAAATGAAACATTGGTTAGTTATGAAGAATACTATTCCAACGAGTTGTTGTTTCTGAAAGAATGTTTTTTTTCTCTAATGATTTTAAAAGTATTTCACACTATATTTGAAGGAACCGTCTAATATTTCTTGACTATAAGTAATTGAAATTGATATTTTCTAAACCGTTCAATCTTTAGAAACATTGATTTGCCTGAGAATTAAAATTGAAATTCAGACATGAAATGACAGTGGGTATCATTTGCGATGAATCCAAATAGATATTAAATGATATATGATACTTTATTAGTGATTAAAACAAAAAAGGAATCCTGAATTTGAATAAAAAACTCATTTTTGGGTTATATTCCTTTTAATGATTTATTGATGTTTGTAAATTAAGGCAATATCGAGGCAATACGAACAGTATGTACATATGCCAATAAGAGATTGATCAATTGCAGTGCTAAACATCGACAGGAAGATTAAAGTAAACAATACCAAATAAATTTAAGCTTCGCTCCATTGTAAAAACAAGTAGTTA